GGGTCTGCCTCTGCCCCATGGTGCGTGGGGGGCCTCCCCTCCTCGTCCGCCCCCTCCTCTGCTGCTTCCCCAGCCTCAGTTTCCTCCTGTGGCATGGGGATGCCTCCTCCCCGTTTCCGGGGCGGTGGAGCGATTTAGTAAGACGATGAGTGTCAATGCTGTGTGGCCCGGGGCCTGGCCCTGGTCACCTGGCTTTGCCCGGTTCATTGTCCCGCCGTGACCTTGGTCAGTGACCCCCCCACTCTGCCTCAGTCTCCCTGTCTGTATGACAGGTGACAGACACAGGCCCCCATCCCTCCTCTGACGTCCTGGGGCCAGACGGCTTGTAGAGTTGCGAATCTTCTCGACTTCGGAAGCGAGGCTGTGCTGTGTGGGTGCGGCTCTCCCGCCGGCCCGTGGCCTCGCTCCAGGGAGAATCAGACTGTAGTTCAGCAGGAAAACATCTGGAAGAGTCAGACGAGAGAGCAGAGTCAGGGCTCAGTAGACTCAGGGCAGGGCAGGCTTTGCTGCTCCAGGAGTTGGGGCCAAGCTTAAAAAGCTGGAGTTCCCGGCGCGCTTTGGCTTTTGGAATTGCCCTTCAGGGGCTGTGGAGGGCGATGAGCGCGGCATCCCCGTCTTGGGAGGTAGCCGGTGGGAACGCACCTGTGGCTGTTGAGGTTGTGGCGAGGAGCCCTCTCGTGAAGCCGCTGGCCTGGAGGCTGGGCTGGCCGGGGGGTACTTGCTGGTCAGAACATGGACAGGCTTGGTGTCAGTTCCACCTTTGCCGTTTATGTGCTGTGTGACCTCGGGCAGGCAACTCACCTTCTCCGAGCCTTTGGTCTTTCATCTGCACAGTGCAGGTAACAGGGTAGCTGAGGGTTCGGTCAATCACACTATCTCTAGAAAGCTCTAGAAACCGGCCCTCACTCATCGGAGCGCTTGCTGCTGCCTCACTTATTATGGCCTCTCTTGCCCTCTCCAGATCATCGGCCGTGGCAACGACCAGGTGGCCATCAGCTCCAAATTTGAGACCCGGGAAGATATTGGTATGCTGCCCATGGGTGGTTTGTCTGGGTTCCAAGAGGGGAGGTGTATGAGAATGGCTCAGTCATGCTGCAGTGACAAGGATCCCCAGATCCCAGTGGCTCAATGCAGGGGCTCCTTCCTGCCCAGGGTACCCAGCCCTGGGGGTGGGCGGGGCTGCCCACGTCTCCTCCCTGGGACCCTCTGCTGGCGGAGATGTGACACGAGGGGTCACAGTGAATTGTACGCTGGCTCTTAAAGGTACTCACATGGGGTGACGCACAGCCACTGCTGTGCCTGTTTCGTCGGCCATGGCCAGTCACACCGCCACAGCTAACCTCAGGGGCGGAGAAGTGGGACGTGTGTGGACAGCCCTGCAGGCAGCCTCAGCGGGGCGTCTGGGAACCCCAAGTCCACAATGATGTTAGCCAGGAAAGCGCCCATAGGGAGTGGGGAGGAGGACCGGACCGGGAGAGAGCCCACTCTCTGACCCCCACAGCGGTGATCCGCAACTACGGGAACCTTCTGCTGGAGATGTCCGCCGTGGTGCCCGACGGCATCGTGGCCTTCTTCACCAGCTACCAGTACATGGAGAGCACCGTGGCCTCCTGGTACGAGCAGGTACGTCCAGCCACCCTGGCCACCTGCTCTCCAGGAGGACCCCTCTCTCCTCAGCTCTTGACTCTGTTCCTCTGTGTGTTTGTTTTACTCCTTTTATGGTTTTTTTTTTTCCTGTGCTGAGGAAGATTGGCCCTGAGTTAACATCTATGCCAGTCTTCCTCTGTTTTGTATGTGGGATGCCACCACAGCATGGCTGTCGCGAGCAGTGTAGGTCCACACCCAGGAACCAAACCCAGGCACCAAAGCAGAGCATGCCGAACTTAACCCCTAGGCCACAGGGCCCGCCGCAACTTCTCTTGTGTTTTAAACAGTGACGTGTATCAGGTGGCAGGACCATGTGCAGAACACAAAGGGACACTTTCAAGAGTGCTCGCCCCCTGTCCCCTGCTCCCACATCCAATTTAAGAACTAAGACGTGAGCAGCTCCGTGGGCCGCTCCTTCAAAGGCGTACCCCTCAGGAGAGGCCACCACACCCCAGCATCTGGGTTCCTTATTCCCCTACTGCTTTTTTTGGGGGGGGTCACCCCCGTGACTGTCCGCCCAACGTGTGTGGCTTGATGTGGAAACTCGGGGTGGCAGCGTGACTTCTGGGTGCCGTGCTGTTAGAGGAAGGTTCTGGAGAATAAAGGCTGGACAGAGCCTCGGGGCAGTGAGTCTGCAGAGCCCGTGCTGGGGAGTGTGTGGGCGAGGTCCTGGGGCGTCCTGGAAATGGGGTCACCGCAGGCGGGTGCTGGGCGTGGCAGGATGTGGGGGCGGGGGGCCGCCATATCCTTTCTGCTTCTGAGCGCACCATGGCCCGGCTCTCGGAAGGTGCAGCCAGGGCTTCTTTGGGGTGAGATGGTGAACTTGGCTGATCTGAGCACCGGGGGGTGGGGGGCACCTCTTCCACGCACGGCCACGTCCTTGGTCTCGTCCTCGGACGGGCTCTTTCCACACTGTGGGAAAGGTGGCTGAAGCCGCCTGAGCCTCACGTCCCAAGGGCCCTTGTGTCCCCTTTAAGAAACCTTTGCCTACCCCAAGGTCACAAAGATAGCCTCCTGTGTTTCCTTCTAGAAGCTTTGTAGTTACAGCTTTCACATCCGTGAGGTACCTCAGATTCATCTTTGTGGATGGCGTCAGCTCAGGGTCAAGGCTCATTTTCCCCCACGTGGAGAGGCAGCTGCTCTCCCCACTGAGAGGCACGGTGACCGTCTGTGTGGGGTGTGCTTCTGGACCCTCTGCTCCGTCCACGTGTCTGTCCCCATCAGCACCTCACCCTCTGTTACAGTGTCGGGTCAGCCTCTGATTGGCGCTGCCTGGCCTGCATCAGTCTCTCCACCAATCACCGGCGGGGGGAGTGTCCTGATGGGCCATCTTGGGCCCCGTCTCCCCTCCTTGTGCAAAAGATGGGGCACAGGGATTGGTTCCCTGCCTGGGTCACAGGGTCTCCCAAAAAAAGTGGGGCTGGCCCATCCACCTCCCTCCATCCCTTCTTCCCCGAGTCTCTGCTGGGCACGCCGAGGCCTGGAGACAGAAGTGTCTGTCGCATGGGAACCCGTGGCAGGGTTGAGCTCAGCCAGGACGCCGTGCCCTTAATCCATCTCCCACCAGCCCGCGCCCTGACCTGCCTGTGTCTGTCCCTAGGGCATCCTTGAAAACATCCAGAGGAACAAGCTGCTCTTTATCGAGACCCAAGATGGGGCTGAGACCAGTGTCGCCCTGGAGAAGTACCAGGAGGTGGGTGTGTGGGGGGATATGGGGGTGCTGAGAGACGGGCGGCCGAGGGGCCAAAGGAGGCAGCTTGGGGGGGCCGCGTCTCATTCTTGGTCTCCCCTCCCCAGGCCTGCGAGAACGGCCGTGGGGCCATCCTGCTCTCGGTGGCCCGTGGCAAAGTGTCCGAGGGAATCGACTTTGGTGAGTGGCCTAGGCCCCCTGTCCCCAGGCACCTGCATGGAGCCCTTGGCGTGCCTGCTCCCCCAGGGGGCCACCCACCCACAGGCTGGGCATGCCCAGGGGCCCCCTTCCCTTGTCCCTGGGCCCTCGGAGCACACCCACTCTCTTCCCACTGAAACCGCACGACCTGCCAGGCCCCACCGGTGACCTCTCTCCTGCCCCCCGCCCCCAGTGCACCACTACGGGCGAGCCGTCCTCATGTTCGGGGTCCCCTACGTCTATACCCAGAGCCGCATTCTCAAGGTGAGCAGCACTGGGGCCGGGGGTCGCCAGGGACACATGTGGTGTGGGGCAGGGGCAGGCAGGAAGGGACGGCTCCCCCCTCTCCTGTCCCCCTCCACCTCCCCCACTGCAGGCGCGGCTGGAGTACCTGCGGGACCAGTTCCAGATCCGTGAGAATGACTTTCTCACCTTTGACGCCATGCGCCACGCAGCCCAGTGTGTGGGGCGGGCCATCAGGGGCAAGACGGACTACGGCCTCATGATCTTCGCCGACAAGGTGCGGGGTCCGGGGCCTCCGCCCAGGCTGTCCCTCGGTCATCTTCCCGATGAGGAACCTGGCTCCCCCAGCGGGGTCCTGACGCCCGCCCTCTTGCCCTCCTGCTCACAGCGGTTTGCCCGGGCGGACAAGCGGGGGAAGCTGCCCCGCTGGATCCAGGAGCACCTCACGGACGCCAACCTCAACCTGACCGTTGACGAGGGCGTCCAGGTCGCCAAGTACTTCCTGAGGCAGATGGCACAGCCGTTCCACCGGGTGAGCCAGGGCGCCGCCCTACCTCCCATCACCCTCCCCGGCTGAGCTCCTCCTCCAGGAGGGCCCTCGGCTTTGTCCCCGCGCCCCAGCCCGGCCTCACAAAGAGAGGTTTGTGTGCGCCCACGTGCCAGGCCTGGGAACGGGGGAGTGGAGGCCGTGGGGAGCGCGAGGAGGCAGGGCACCAGGGCCTCGGAAAGCCACCCGCTCCAGCCTGGACACCTGGACACTGCCCTCTGGCTGCCACCTCCCTCCACCTGACTTCTGCTTACGGGAGGGTATGCTCTGCATTGCGCCAGGTTCCAAATTCCAACAGCCTGTCCCAGAACCCCCTTGTTGGCCCCCTCCTGTCACTACTGGCCTCAAGTCCTGGTCCCCTGTGTCCTATCAGGGGCGTGTGGGGAAGTGCAGCCGCCGTCCCTGTCCCCCGCCATCTGATACCTCCCTCCCCCGCCAGGAGGATCAGCTGGGCCTGTCCCTGCTCAGCCTGGAGCAGCTGGAGTCGGAGGAGACGCTGCGCAGGATAGAGCAGATCGCCCAGCAGCTGTAGCGGGAGGGGGCAGGGCCATAAAAGGTGTTGGTGGTGACAACTGCGTCTTACTGGCCCTGGGTCCCAGCTCGGGGGAGCTACTGGGAGGACCTTGCAGGAAACCTCAGGCGGACGTGGCTGGCTGCCGACTCTACAGCCTTTAATCGCGGGAGGAGAGGGCAGCAGGCACACCCGATACACTGGGTGCCCCCCGGAGGCGGGGACATGGAAGACCCTCCGCCCATCCCCCTCCAGTCTTCCTGAGAGGCTGCGGCCACGCGGTCCTGCCGGCTTTAGCGGGCGCCCAGGTCCTGGGTGCTGGTGCTGAGGGTCCGAGGGGTCTCGCTCAGGTGCCGACTGGGGAACTGGGGACGGGATGGTTCAAGGGTGGGCGAGGGGCAGGTCACAGCTCTACTCCAGTCGCCACCAGGGCCACCCCAGCAGCCTGGTGGCCAGCTTGCTCATCCTCCTGTCCGCACATCCCCCTGCCTCTTCCCCCAGTAAACCCATTCGTTCTGTCCTCGGGGCCATGCCACCTGCAACCTCCAGCCCCTGGCTCCCCACGCCAGCCCGTCACCCCCCTTCCCTTGCCTCGGGTGCCCCTGTTGCCCCTCACCTGGGGCCCAGCAGCCCTGGGACCATCCGTGTTCAGCGTGTTCAGTGACACGGCCCTCTTCATCCTGCAGGGGAGGGGTGGGGGTAACGGGGGGTCCAGGAGCGTCTGGCCCCTCCCGGGGAAGACTTCTCCGGCACCAGGTCCCATCGCACATGTCACAGGGCAGATGGAACCGTGGAAGGTTCCTGAGCAGATGTCAGGGCTCTAGGCCGACCTGCTCCAACACTCACCCGGCCGCCCCCGCCGCCCCCTCGCCTCGGAGTCGGGAGACCAGCTTCTCGCTTCCGCGTCGGATCGACTCCCGGAGCGACTCTCGGAGCTTCGACAAGGAGCTGCTCCGGCGAAGGGTCTGGGGCCGGGGCACACCGGTCAGCCCCCATCCCATCCAGTCCGCATCCCCACCCCGGGAGCCAAAGCAAAGCCCGTCTTTACCTGTTCTCTGTCACCGGCTGTGCCTGTGCTGGGGGCTGCTGGGGAACAGATGGGGACACTGCAGTGGGGACGCCGAGGAGCCCCCTGGGGGAGGGGAGCAGCGGGGCTGGGGCTCACCGAGAGGGGCGGGCAGGTCCTCCCTGCTGAGGATTTCCTTGTACAGCTCCTCCGCCTGCTGGTACTTGTTCTGCTTCAGGTAGGCTGAGGCCTGGGGGAGGGGGTGGCCTGGGTCATCTTGGCCCAACTCTGGGGACGTCCCAGGCCCTGGCACTGCGTCCGGACCCCTCCTCCCCGACCCCAGGAAGGAGCCTGGGCTCACCCCGCACTCGAGGCCTCGCCCTACAGCAGAGGGGGTTTGGGGCCCGGGGCCACCACTTCCCCCACCTGGGTGACCGAGGGCAGGGGACTTCCCGGCTCAGCCCGTTCCCTGCTCTACCTTGGGCCAGTGACACCACTTCTGTGTGCCTCAGTTTCCTCATCTGCAAAATGGGGCAAGGGCAGCACCTACCTCCTGGGGTCCTTTAAGCGCTGGACGGGAGGGGACAGTACTAAGGAGGGGCTCAGTGGCCCAGTAAATCGCCGTGCTGTCTCCCGCCAGTCTCCAGCTTCTCCGCCCCGGGAGCTGTTCACTCTGGCCGCCGCCCACCCGCCCGTTTCCTGACTTCTCTGTCCTCCGCGCTGAGCCACCTCAGCAGTCAGGGCCCAGCTTGGAGTCTTAGGGGACACCTTCTCTGAGGGCCGGGCAGAGGCGGGGCTCCGTGCTATCCCACCCTCCAGCCAGTGGGCACCTCCCCGCGGTGCGGCCCGTCAGTCCACGGGGCCCCAGGACGGAGACGGCCGCACGCACCGCGCCCTCACCAGGTTGTTCTTGGTCTTGGCCACGTTCGGGTCGTGGGGCCCGCCCAGCGCCTCGTAGATGCTCAGGGCGCGGGCGTAGTGCTGCTCCACCGCCTCGAACTTGCCCTGGTTCTGGCACAGCAGGGCCAGGTTGTTGAGCTGCTTGGCCACATCCGGGTGGTCGGTGCCCAGGACCTGGGGTCATGGGGTCACAAGTCACTGGGGTTCTCCAGGATTGGGGGGGCCACATGATGCCAGCAGCCACGATGGGGGTCACGAGTTAGGGGTTAAAAGATCAGAGCGGACAGTTAGTTACATGGGGCGGGGCCAAGGGCAGAAGTTGCACCATCAAACTGGGGATTCACAGGTCAGAGGTCATGGTGGTCCAGAAGCTCACGGGGTACAGGGTTAGGATGGGGCTGTGCTGGTGGTCACGTGGGGTTGGAAGGTCAGGACATGGTGGGGGCATATGAGGTGAATCGTAAGAGAAGGGGGTTAGAGTCAGGAGTCAGGATCAAGTGGAGCTCACAGAAGGTCAGGGTGGTGGGTCATGGGACTGGGGGCTCACAACATGAAATGGGAAGGGCCACACAGGACACGGGGCTCCCTGGGGCTGGGCAGGGGGACGGGACCTTCTCTCGGATCTCCAGGGCGCGCTGGCACAGGGGCTCTGCCTCCCGGTATCGGCCCCGCTTCCCGTAGAGGACCGCCAGGTTGTTGAGGGTGGCGGCCACCTGTGGGGTCAGGGAGGTAGGTCAGGGGAGGGCCAGTCCCCCAGCCACCCCCCCCCCGGGCCCCCACTCACGGCGGGGTGCTCGGGGCCCAGCGTCTTCTCCCGGATCTGCAGGGCGTCGTGGAGGAGGTCGGTGGCCTCTTTGTACTTGTTCTGGTCCCTGTGGGGTGACCCCGGAATGGGGGGTGGTCAGCCAGGCTGGGGTAGCAGGGGCCACGGCCTGGGCTCATCCTGGCAGGCCCAGGGACCTGGCTGAACCAAGCATGGCTGGCACCCTTCAGGGGTTCCTTCTGGGTCCCCCCACACTCAGGTCTACACAGGGTCCCTGTACCCCCAAATCGCTGCCAAGCCTCTGGCCACCCCACGTCTCTTCCCCACTCTGTTGGGGTCTCTGTTGTCCATCCTCTGACTCCTTTTTGCCTGGTCTAGGTGGATCTGTCCCCCCTCCCCACCACCGGGTGCCCCACATCGGCAGAGCAGGACACCAGGGTCCCCCCCTTCCACCCAACAGGTCCCTGCCCTTGCTGCCCCCTCCAGCCCTGGCCGGCTGCCGCCCTCACCGGTACACCAGCGCCAGGATGTTGAGCATGGTGGCCACATCAGGGTGGCAGTGGCCTGAGCTCCGCTCCAGGTCCTCCAGGGCCTGGCGGCACAGCGGCACAGCGACTTCATAGCGGCCCTGCCCCGCGTACTGGATCACGAGGTTGTGCAGGGTCCGGAGGCGGGCTGGGATCTCATAGCCACCCTGCTGAGCTGCTGCGGCCCCCGCCGCCTCAGGTCCTGGGGTGGTGGGCACCGAGTCACACGGCAGGCCTCCTACCCCTCCAGCCCCTCATGAGGGGGTAACTCCCCTACCCAGAGCTGCGGCAGCCTCGCCACCCACCTGGCCCCTGGGACCCTGGGCCCCGCACTGGCTCCTGAGATGGGGTCACAGGCGTCGACTGGCCCGTGGGGCTGTGGACACCAGGGCCTGCCTAACTCCACACCTTCCAGCCTCACCTGCCCGCCGTCACCCCCCACAGCCACCTGCTTCACCCTCCTGATGCCCTGCCCTGACCCCCCAGCCCCCGCAGAGAGCCTGGGGTCCAGCAGCCCCTGCCCAGCCTGGCCTTTCACCCTCCGTGGCTGGGCTCCCCCGCCCACCTTTCCTCTCGTTGTCCTCACTGGGAAACAGGGAGGCCAGGCTGTCTCGGCGAGGCGGGGACTCAGGCTGCTACAGCGAGGACAAGAAAGTGGGGTGTCATGTGGGTTGGGGGCATGTTTCAGAGACTGGGGTCCCAAACCACAGGGTTTGAGGGAGGAGGTGGTCTCGAGGCTCGGGGGTCCCCTGAGGGCTTGCGGAGGGTCTGCAGGCTTCGTGGAAGCTGGGGGGCTTCTGCAGAAGTCCGAGTGGGGCTGCGGGTGTGGGGTTCTACAGAGGAGCGGGGGGTCTTTGGAGGGTCCAGCGCACTGGGGGCTCCGGGGGAGGGTTGGGGGCCGCCCGGCCCGGCCCCACGGCACCTGGCTCTCCGCGGGCGGGTCGTACTGCCGCAGCTGCCCGAGGAACTCCAGGTGGCTCTTCTCCTCCTCCAGCTGGGCCACGGCCTCCTCGCTGGCCCGCAGCCGCCGCTGCGTCTCCTCCAGCTCCTCCCGCAGCCACGCGTTCTCCTGGGCCAGCCGCCGGGCCTGCGCTCGCAGCCGCTGCTGCTCGGCCTCCAGCGCGCCCACGTGCGCGGACAAGGCCAGCAGCACCTGCCAGGGTGGGGAGGTGAAGGTGGGGGCCTGGTCCCTACCCTGCCGGACAGCCCCTGGCCCAGCCCAGGGCCTCAAGTCAAGCCAGGGCACCCCCACTCTATCCAAGATCCCCCAGATTCTGCAGAGACCCCTCCAGTGTGGCTCCAGAGATACTCAGAGGCTCCCAGGGCCCCCTCTGACTTCCCCCAGGCACACAAAGTATGCTCAGGGACCCATCAGATCCACCCATGTGATCCCAAAGTTTCCCCGGGATCCACAGTTCTACAGAAGGACCCCAGCTGGTACAGGGGTCCCTGTCACATACAAAGACCCCCCAGTGCAGCCCAGGGACCCCATCTCTGGCCTAGGGCCTCCCCCACCCAGGCCTGGCTCACCTAGGCCTCCCTGTACCCTAGGCTGCCCCCTCACCCTGGGCCTCCCCAGGCCCGAGCCCCATTCCCCCCAGGTGGTCCCCTCCTACCTGGGCCTCGCCCAGCCCCAGCTCGATGGCCTCCAGCGAGTGGCTCACCACCTGCTGCTTCTCTTCCAGCAGCTCCAAGCCAGACACAGGGCCCTGTCCCGTCAGGGCCTCCGCCAGGTGCCTGGCCAGGCCGTGGTGCTCCGCCCGCAGGGCCTCCAGCCCCTGCACCACTTGTCGCGTCTGCCGCACCAGCTCCTCAGGGCTCAGGCGCTCTGGGCCCAGCCCCGCGCTTGCCGGGGCTGCCACCTGCACAGACATTGCTGCTCCTGGAGGGTGAGTGGGATCCGGGAATCACTGCCAGGCCAGGCAGGCCGGCCCCTCAGCCTCCGCGCCATCCCGGCCAGCAGGACCCATCCCGGCCAGCCCTCTGCCTCCGTGCTCTCCTCACTCCGGCCAGCACCCCGTCCCACACCCATCCTGGCCTCCCCGAAACTGGAAACGTTCTAGGCCACCTTCGCCTGTCCCCTGAGGGTGACTCCAGACCCCCACTGTGTGTAATTAACCAAAGGAAGCAACCGCGGTCTTGCCCGCAGCTCACCTGGCTGGCCCTCCCCACCCCGAGGACCCCACACACCCCGGCCCAGAAGTCCCGGCTGTGGGACCCGGGACTGGAGGTGCCCTCCTCTGCCAGCGTGCAGGGCGGGGCGTGTGGAGGCGGCGGCCTCTCTGTGAGCTCATTCTTAGGGTGTTTTTGTTGGGAACCAGTCAGACCACTGGGGGTGGGGCAGGAGGAGAGGGCCAAGGGGCTGGAGGGCCGGAAGCAGAGGAGGCCTCCAGGTGGGGGGGGCAGTCAGGGAGGGTGCCCCATGGGTCGGCTCTCAGGGCCTGGGGAGCTGACAGATCCAGAGGGAACGGGGCTCCGCCCTTCACTGCAGACAGGCCCAGCCAGCCCAAGGCGTGTTGGGACACACATGTGGCAGGCGTGGCCCATGGATGTCATCATCCTGGCCGTGTGACAGCTGAGGTTCTGAGGCCGAGATTGTACTGGGTGGGGGTCTCATTTGTGGGACTTCGTGTGGTTGTGAGTGACAAGGTCAATGCCCCTGGTGATGCCTCTGGGGCGCGTGTGCACACACACACACACACACACACTCTCCTCTCAGAAATAGACCTCAACAATGCACACCCTCTCGTCTTAAAAACACAACGCACCACACACATTCTTACGTCAGAAATACGACACACACATTCTTCTTTCAGAAATAACACCTGTACACTCCAATTTTCGAAGTACAACTCAGGTATATTTTCCTTTCACAAATAAAAGGCAACATATGAAGAAACTCCTTCTCTCCCCCCTCATCTTCAAAAATACGACCAACTCCAAAATCACTCACGTTCTGACTGTTTCCTTGTACTTGTCGCCATGACACACACCCTGTCCCACACTCGTATGGTCCCACAAGCAGTCACCTCTCCATCATCTGCCTTCTCCAAGCACCCCTCACCCCCGGATTCACTGTGGCCCCGTCCCCATCTTCCCCACTTCCTCCCAGACCCCCTACCCCCTGCCAGGTCAGCTGGGGATTTGCAATCCTGCACGTATGTGGCGCACACACAGATCCATGGACATGCAAATGACCCCTGAACTCAGATCATGTTATGCTGTCACAAGTGGGTGCCCACGGCACAGATGGCTGTGGAGATGCACAGCGGCAGTTCCACTGTGTCCACTGGAAGCAACCCGGCGGTTCCTGCACCCGCTCGCACACTCACGATCACATACACTCAGATACACAGTAAGGGCAGGCGTGTAATCCTGCGGATTTTACACACGGCAGGCTCTCGATCACTATCACTCTCTCTCCCTATGTAGATATGTGTGTATATACGTATGTCACACCATACCTAGCCACACACACAAGCCCCATAAACAAAGACAATCACACAAGTTCATCAAGTCATTCTGACAACCACAACCATCATTCACACAATTCCGCCGACGTACACAACCTCCCACAACGTCACGCACAATCTCAGACAGCTGAGCCAAATGCTCCAGACACAGCCTCGCACACACCACCCACAGCCGGATACCACCAGCCACAATTGGTAACAGTCACAGCCACGCATCCCTTGGGCTGTTCCCTCCATACACACCAGCTCCCACCCTCATCCAGCGCCCCCAGCGGCAAACCCTCCTTCACGTCCTCGGCCCCGTGCGCACAACCACCCAGCTGACAATGACCATCACAGTCACACCGCACACATCCATGCTGTTCCACACACCGGCCCACCCACCCCACTTTCCAGGTAGAAAGACAGCCACACACCCGCCTGGTCACACTCACACCTAATCCTGCTAGACACAGCTACCCCCCGCCAGCATCACAGACACACCATCAGAAGTCGCCCACATTTTCACAGCACCGAAACACTCCCACACCATTCACAGGGTCCCTCTGTGCCCTCGCAGGGTGACACCGACGGTGCATCTCCCTTTCACACCCATACCCGCAACCTGACGCCATCACACACACTCTGGAGCTTCGCATACCCTCTCTCATGCACACACACCCCCTCGCAGGCAAGAGGTCCCCACCTCGGCCAGCCCCCCAAAACCACGCGACTTGCTCCTGGGCGGCGGCCCCGCCCCGCGCGCCGTCACAAGAGCCCCCTCCCTCCCGAGGCCCCGCCCCGGCCGCGCGGCTGTTTACCTGCGCTCGGGGGAGGGGGCGCGCCCCCGGCTTGGCCTCCAGACCCGGGGAGCCCCAGGGCGGGCAGGGGGCGTCCCGGGGTTCCAAGGCCCGTCCCCATCGCCAGGCCAGCGGGCCCAGGGGTGCGCCAGGCGCAGCCCCCCGCCCCGGCCCCATCCTCGCGGTCCCCGGGGACTCCGCCCCGCACTCCCGCGCCCACCTGATCGCCGACGGCTCGGGACCCCGCCGCCCGGGCTGTGCCCCCAGCCTCCGCCCCGCGCTCCCGGCGGCGCCCCGCGACTCGGCCCCCGCGGCTCCTCCGAGGGGCGGGGCGGCTAGGAGCCACGCCCCCAGGTGAGGCCGGCCCCGCCCAACCTCGGGCCCGGCGGGAACAGCGGGACCAGCGGGCGGAGCCCGGGGCCTCCGGGGCACGTCGAGCCCGAGGATGCTCAAGGCCTGAAACCGAAGCCGGAATCTTGGAAACTCGGAATCTTGGAAACTTTGGCTCCCAGACCGATGACCTGCCGCCGGGCCTTTGCCTTGGCCGTGCCCCCTGCTGTCGTCGTCTATCTGGTCTCTTCTCAAAGGCCGCTTCCTCCAAGAGGCCTCCCTTGCCTGCCCCCTTTCTAAATTACACCCTCCGCCGCCAAACATGCCTCATTTCTCGGCTGGATTTGGTTCACGAAACTTTTCAGGGCCTAATGTTATTTCAGGTCACACAGCACATTATAATGTTACGTCACGTTCTTGGCGAGGTGACGTGATGGCTAAAGAGTGGCTCCGGGTTCAAATCTGATTTCAAGACTGGCTGTGCAGGTCTTGGGCAAGGAACTTAACCTCTCTGTGCCTCCCGCTTTTCCTAATCTGGAAAATGGAGATAGTCAAAGGCGGCGAGGATTGAGTGAGTTCATACATGGATAGGAAACACTTAGCACATGCCAGCTACCGATGGCGTGATGTTATCGCTTCTCCCAGGCTAGAAAGTCCGCTCCCGAGGGCTGGGCTCTGGATGGTCCGCGCTCTATCTTCAGCGCTAGAACAGAGCCTGGCGCAAAGGAGGTGCCCAACAAATGTTCGTTGCATGACTGAATGAATGAATCAAGTCCTGGAAACGTAAACCGGCTAAAGCTGGGCGCGCGGCATAGAATTCGGTTCAATGCGAGTTTTTCCGAACTCTGACGGTAGCCGGGCCCCTGCACATGGATATATAGGAACATAGGATGCTCCCAGCAGAGGGCGCTGCCGGCCCGCGGACCAGGCCCAGACCCCGCGCGGCTCCTCGGCCTCCCTCAGAGCAGCCGCCGACCTGCTCTCTACTCATCAGTTCCTCGAGCCCCAGGGCAGATGCTTCCTCCTCCGGGAAGCCCTCTTGGACCACCCCAGTCTGGATGAGACGCCCCTTCCCGGCTCCTGCAGCCTCCTGGGCTCCCACATCCCAGCCTTGCCCTCTCTGGGTCCTCAGCGTCTTGAGGATGGCTTTGCCTCCCGCACTGGACTGTAAGTCCGAGGAGGGGATGACTGACCAGGGCAGTCTCACCCGCTACTGTGTCCCCAGGGCCACGCAGCACAGGCTGAACACAGAGAAGGCACTCCGGAGAATGGGTGTTGACTGATTGTCGGAAAATAAGACGCCACCCACCATGCACACTCTCACTTTTCCAGCTTATTTCTAGGGAACGGGGTAGAAGGGAGCAACTGAGTCCCTCCTCTTCCCCCTCCTGCGTTGTTTTGGCCTCAGGACACTGGACGTTGGTTCTGGATCTGCCACAGGCTTACTACAAGGCAGCACAGGGACTGGAGCCGGCGCGAATCCCTGCTCCGTCATTTGCTGGCTGTGTGACCCTTGAGCCAGGAACTAACCTCTCTGGGCCTCAGGTTCCTATTCTGTAGAACAGGACTCACAAGGGTAACCTACTTTGCGAGGCTGTTGCGGGATTAACGAGTAATCTCTTTAAAAGGTTTAGCACTGAGCAGCGGGTGGTCACGCCGTGGGGATGGGGGGGGCGGTGGGAGGGGGTCGGAGCCAGCTAGATCTGAGTTCAAATCCTGGTCTCGCCATTTCCTTTCCGTGTAACCTGGGGCAAGCAATGATTTTCTGAGCACGTATTTCCCTGTCTGTTAAGCCAGGATTGTCACACTCATCGCATAGCACAGTGTTGAGGATTAAATGAGATAAAGGCAGAAGGTGGCCGTTTCTTTAGGCCGGCCCTGCGCCAAGCTCTTTGCACAGCACCAGTGAGGGCGGGAGTTTCTGAGTTCTTACCCAGGACGGGCCTTACGCCAAGGCTTGTAAATTAGTCCTCACACCAACCTGATGAGGTCAGTGCTATGATTATCCTTGTTCCACGGGTAAGGAAGATGAGGCACAGAGAGGTCAAGTGACTTATCCAAGGTCACACAGCCAAGGAGTAGCAGAGCCCCGGAGTCCATACAGGACCCCAGAGGTAGGCACTATTGCTAGCCCCAACTAAAGATGGGGAAACTGAGGCTCGAGAGGAGGAATCCCTTGCCCCAGACCACAGCCAAGAAGGCACTCAACAAAACTCCTGTCCTCTCACTGAGGGCCTCAGTTTGCCGTGTCAGGAAAACGGGCGGATGGGTTGGGGCCTTTTTGATTTTCACCTCTTGGCCAGTTTTTAAAAAGTTCCCCCGCCTTTGTTTAATTTACAGAGTAATGCGCTGTCAGAAAGAATGTCACAGAGAACAGAAGACTAGTCTCTCCTTGGTCCCTAGACATCACTCCCACCAGCAAACATGATGACCCCTTTCTTTCTTTTTCTTTTGAGGAAGATCAGCCCTGAGCTAACATCTCCTGCCAATCCTCCTCTTTTTGCTGAGGAAGACTGGCCCTGAGCTAACATCCATGCCCATCTTCCTCTACTTTATACGTGGGACGCCTACCACAGCATGGCTTGCCAAGCGGTGCCATGTCCGCAGCCGGGATAACAGTTCGGATAACCGGCGAACCCCGGGCCGCCAAGAAGCAGAACGTGCAAACTTAACCGCTGCACCACCCGGCCGGCCCCCATGACCCATTTCTGATATCCTTCCAGAGGCATCCCACGGGCACGGATCGTGTGTGGCTGTGTGAGCGTGGTGCCCATTTAAAAAAAACAGAAATGAGAAAAATCTTTACCCACGGAGGGAGAGGGGACGGCGGCCTTGACACTGGGTGTGGTCATGCCACTTGCTTTGGCCAATGGCCGAGGGGCACCAGGGACGCTGTGCCAGTTCTGAGCTTCGACCTTGAACATTTCCTTTTGTGACCCGGCCTCGGCATGAGAAAGACCTCCCCTGCATGGCCCACACCATACAATGTCCACATATTGTTAAAAGATAAACTGAGGCACGGTAAACATTTTAAGAGTTTATTTGAGCAAAAATAGATTTGAATCGAGCAGCGTCTGATCTAGCCGATAGAAAGGAGCTTCGAGGAGCAGGACAAAATGAAGGACTTACAAGAAGGGAGCAGGAACAAGGAGGGTGTGTTAGGCCAAAAGGCAGCTTGGTGACTCTCAGGTCACTTTCCCTGATAGGGGACATCAGGGGTCTGCCAAGCAGACACCGAGGGAGGGCTGATCAGGCGGTTCCTGATGGACGGGTTTAAGATTCCATTTTTTAAAAATTGTCTTTATTTATTTATATATTTTTTCTACTCTTTCTCCCTCAATCCCCCCAGTACATAGTTGTATTTTCAGTTGTGGGTCCTTCTAGTTGTGGCACGTGGGACGCCGCCTCAGCATGGCTTGATGAGTGGTGCCATGTCCGCACCCAGGATCCGAACTGGCGAAACCCTGGGCTGTTGAAGCAGAGTATGTGAACTCAACCACTCGGCCGTGGGGCCAGCCCCAGGATTCCATTTCTGGGAGAGCCGAAACTGTCATTAGGTTCAGTGAGTATGAGGGGCTTCTGGGAGGTGACAAGGTCCCGAAGGTGGACCCCTCACGAGTGGGATTGATGCTTTTATAAAAGAGATCACAAAAAGCTCCCCTGTCCCTTCTGACACGTGAGGATAGAGGAAGTCTGGGATCTGGAAGAGGCGCCTCCCCCGACCCCACTGGCACCTTGATCTCAGGCTTCCAGCCTCCAGAACTGTGAGTAATAAATTTCTGTCATTTGTAGGCCACCCTGTCTGTGTTATGCAGCCCGAATGGACTCAGGCTCTTAGCAATTATTCCAGAGCACTACATATAGATTAGCTTTTTCCCCTTTTCACAGCTACATATTATCCCATTAGGTGACATCTCATCTTTTGTCCATTCATACATAAAAAGATTTTTTAAAAGCCACTCATCAGACAAAGAAGAAATGAGAACAGAAACTAGAAAATATTTAGAAGTGACCAGTCATCAGACTGCTCTATAGAAAAACCTACTAAAAACACTCTCTTGCTGCCTGTGACCATGCGAACAAATCTCAGTAGACGGAATGTTGAGCAGAAGAAGTCAGACAGAAGAGAGGACAGCCTGTGTGATTCTATTTACACGAAGTTGAATCACAGGCAAGACTGATCTATGGTGTTAAAAGCGAGGATAGGGGTCCCTTTGGAGAAGAGAGGGGACACTGAGTGGGAGGGGGCATGAGAGAGCTGTCCAGGTGCTTGGTCCTGGTGAAGCTTACTCAGATGGACACATATATAAAAGTTCATTGTTCTCATTGGGCACTTTGCTGAATGTAAGTTATACCTCGACAAAAAGGTAAATTTAAGAAACTAAAACATGAATGAATGTGACCATCCAAATGCTCCAAATATAACATTTTCAATGTAAAGAGTAAATTTGAAATGTTAACAGAAAGTGAAAACAAACAACCAAAAAACAAAACAAAACAAAACTGAGATGCAGCTAAAGCAGCACCTAGAGGAAAACGTATAGCCAAATTCATAACAATGGATTTGGAGGGACTGGGCAGGACGGAAGGGGAGTCATGAAAGATTATCTCATTTGCCTGTCTTCCACGGCCCCACCACCACATGGGCCTGACGTCCAGTTGGTTACAGGGCTGCAGCAGGCCTGGCCTTGCTGTCAGGGAACAAGAAGCAGTGGGCAGGTCCTTAAGGCTCTGGTTCTGGGGCTGACTGTGATTTACAACTCATCTTCCCTGAATCACTTGGCATCATAGACCACAAGGACTGGGAGAGGAATTTTGGGGTTGGATGAGGAGAGAGTTCTGGGGTGGTGGGCCATGAGGATGGAGTGCCACCTCCCAGACTCTCTCCTGGAGGTGGCAGCCCCATCCCCAGAGGAGGGACAGGGACAGGGGAGGTGGTAGGAAAAAGGGAGAGTTTGGGAGCAGAGTTGCTCTGCAATGCCAGGACCTTGGGGGTGAAGGGAAAAGAGTACAGACTCTGGAATTCCAGAATACTGGCTGTGAGCTTGGGTGACTCCCTTGCCTTCTTGCAGCCTCAGTGTCCACCTTCTGTAAAATGGGGCTTCAGCACGAAGAGGTGGGATCAGGAAGAGGTTACGAATACAAGCTCAGGGACTGATGATCTGGTCCAGTCTTGTTCTGCTACTTCCCAGCTGTGTGACTTTGGGTAAGTGACCTGACCTCTCTGAGCCTCATTGTCAGGAGTGTTAAATGAGTTAATATATGTAAAGTACTTAGCATAGCACTTGACATATAGGAGCGCTCCATAAGAGTCAACTATTGTGGTGGGGACTGCAGAGTGGCCAATCAGTGTCCCTGCTAACCTTCTGCTAGCACGTCCAGGGAGCATGGTTCTGTAGGTGGGAGGGGGCAAGACCAGGGCAGGAGAGAATTCGGAGGAGATGGAGGGTAGGAGGAGGGATGGACAGGCCTTGGAGACTGACGGGCTCTGGGGAGGGGGCTGAAAGATGTACGATGGGGGTCATCCTGCTCCCCAACACCAATTCTTCCTATGAGACTCAAAGAAGATAAGGCGGGTAGAGCTCAGGACGCAGGGTCCTGCTGGAGTGTTTGATTGGCTCACCCTGATCACATGACTGGACTGTTGCTGCAAAGGATCCTGGGAAATGGAGTTTTTGACATTGTTGGCTTCTTCAAAGGAGGCTGTCATCAGGTGGGAACGCCCCAAACACAGAAAGGGCTTCTGACACTGTGTGGCCAGAAAGAATGTCAAACGTCCCCACAAGGGCTTCTTAGGGGTCCAGGGGGCCCGGCTGTGCCACCCACCAGGTCTCTCCCCTGCTGACAACACTCAGGGGCTCCTATCCCACCCACAGAGGCATGGAAACTCCTTCTGTCCCCCTTCCATCCTCATCTTCCTCCTGCTCTCTCCTCTGCCCCATCTGCTCCAGTCCTCCAGCCTCCTCCCTGTCTCTCAGATATGCCAAGCCACACCCACCTCAGGGCCTTTGCACCTGCTGTTCCCCTTCCATATCCCCAGATGGCTGGCTCCCTCCTCTCCTTCAGGTCTCTGCTCAGATGTCACCTCCCCACGGAGGCCTGACCTGACCTCCCCTGCTGTGCCATCACTCATCTGTCACCCTCTTTCATTTTCCTTCAAAGCCCTTATGGCCCCCGACATCACAGCATACGGTGGCTTGGGGTGAGTTCTGCTGTGTCCCCAGTAAGTGCTTAATAAAAAATTGGTGAAATGGTAAATGCATTATGATTCCAGACCAACTCCTTTTAGTTATCCCTGCCTCAGCTTCCCTAACCGTGAAGGAGAACTTTGCCACTCTGACCTTGCTGGGAAGGGACAGGTGGGTGGAGAGCTCAGGCGCTGGGCCCCAAGGAGAAGTTTCCTCCGCGTCCCCCTCCCCACCAGGAGTCTAGGGAGATTCTAGCAGAGAGAGCCCCGTTTCCCCAGGTCAGCCCCCACTTGCCTGGGAAGAAATGGGGGAGACCCGGGAGGCACCAGAAAAGATGGAGACCCAGGGAGGAGCGAGGACCCCCAGAGGGAAAGGAGCTTTCTGTTCTAGGTTGCAATCCTGGGGGCTCCCTGGGCTCGCTCGTCCTGAAATCTTGGCGCCTTCCAGGCGGAGGACGCAGCTTCCTGTAGGCCCCCCTTTCACCGAATCCCCTCTTCAGCCCTTGAGGTCCCCCCTGGTCACACACTCGGTCACACACTCGAGGCGCCCGTAGCTCCTGCTCCGCCCGAGTCGCCGCCCAGCCCCCTTGCCCTGCGCGCCCGGCGCCTCCCGGGCCCGCGGCTGCCCTTGTAAGGAGGCGAGGCCGGGGACACCCGAGCCGGCCGGTTATAATTAACCCGGACACGTGGCGACCCCTCCCCCGACACCTGCCCCCGCGCCCCCCATTCCGCCCCCATCCCGCGGGGCTCGGCCTCCGGCAGAGGAGACAGCGCAGCGCGCGCTCTAAAAATAACCCCGGTTCCCGGCAGAGTCCCCGGGGCGTCCCCTCCAGAGCGGAAACCTCCCGGAGGGACGGGGACTGCAGCGGGATGGCGACCACCGCCTCCCACCCCGGCCTTGAGTTGGAATCTCCTCCGCTCCGCCCAGCCTCAGTTTCCCCCACCTCACTCCCCAGGAGGAAAGTGCATCCAGGCACAGGCTTCTGGGGTCAGCCTGCCCTGAATTCCCACTCCTGCTTTGGTCATATGCTCCCTATAGTCGGGTGACAGCGGGCAAGTCACGGCCTCTCTGGACGTCTGTTTCCTCTTCTGGAAATCCAGATTCCTGGCTCTCCTGGGGCCATTGCGAGGTTTCCCCACGTGCAGGGCCCAGGACACACTGCCATTTCCCAGGGTCAAGGCCACCCTGGCCGAAGAGAGGCCTGTACGTGCCTGGGACATTTCTTGCCACTGTCTCGTGTCCCTGACTGGGGGCCAGCTGTCCCCGCCAGCCAAACTCAGCACTTGGTCGGGGGATCAGCTTGGAGGGGGTGGCCAGGGCCCAGCCCCTGGGGCAGCCCATACAAGGCCATGGGGCTGGACGCAAGGCATGCCTGGGTCCAGGATGGGCCCGGTGCCCAGGGAACCGGGGGGGCAGCTCAGCTGCTCTCGGGGGCCCCCTCCCTGGGGGCAGCCCCTCCCAGCCAATAGCACAGCCCGGCCCCCCCTATATAAGGCCAGGGCTGGAGGCCCATCCTTCGGGTCAGTGTCACCTTCCAGGATAGAGACAGCCCCGTTCAGCACAGCCCAGCCAGGTACCGCCTGCGGTGGGACTCCGGGTGGGGGCCGGAGTGGGGGTGTCCATGGGGGCCAGAGACCTGCCCGGCTCTGGCAGGGGTCTCGGGCATCCGCCCGACGTCCTCCTGCATACAGGTGTGCAGGAAGATGGACCTCTCGTCTGGGCGTCCCCTCCACCTGCGAGCCTCCCGCTGGGGCTCGCGACCTCTGCAGCCCAGGGTCCTGGGGAGGGACCCCAGAGACAAAGGAGTCTTGACAGCTGCCAGCTGTCATCCCCTGCAGGGGCTGCGGGCCTGGCCTTGTTCCTGACGCTTTGTCTCCAGAAACGGGCTGCCACCAGACGTGCGAGGCGCCTGCGCCTCACCCGTCCCGGTCCACAAGGGCGGGCGCTGTGGGTTCTTTGGGGTTTCAACCCTGTGGGTCCCTGTTGTGTCCCACAGCAGTGCGACCTTGTGTCTGACTTTCCGTGGTCCCCGGGAGTGCCTGTATCCTGCATGTGTCCCAGAGCCCGGGGGTGTGTGGCTGTGACTTTGTGGTTTGATCTGGGGGTCCCAGATCGCATCTGGGGGGATGTGAGCGTGTGTGGCTCTGGGGCTATTTCTGCTCGTGTCTCCTGGGCTCAGGGCCCTTTCCTGGGGGTGGGGGTGGGGACGCCCTGCGAAGGGGTCTTTCTGGGCTGGGAGCCCTTGAGCCCCAGGGCCTGGATGCATGTCCGCCCCGCCGTCCTGGCCCACCTGTCTCCGGCCTGCTGAGCTGGTGCAAGCTGAGCCCCTGGAATGTGGGCAGCGGGTTTGGGGGGCGGCAGCTGGCGGGGAGGAGCCTGCCAGCTGCTAAAAATAAACCCAGGCCCTGGACAGCGGCTTCACAGGGCTTCGTGGTCCCCATCCCCCACGGCCTGAGGCCTCTGCCTGGGTCCCCATCTCCTTCCCGTCATCCTCCCCGCTTCCCACTCCTGGAGCCGGGAGAGAGGGTCCCCCCCCCCAGCACCACCGCTGAAGGGTCCCTCCTCCCTCCTGGGTCTTGCAAATAAAAATAATAACAAGAACGGCAGCCATCCCTTCTGGGTACCAGTTCCCAGTCCCATGCCGGGACCTGTGCCTGAATTCGAAGAATCCGCCTGGGAATCCCAAGGGGAAGGCTCAGTTCACAGGAGACAGAGGCTCAGAGAGGCTGAGCCACCGGACTAGGATCACACAGCAGGGAAACAGCATGGGTGGGATTGGAACCCAGCCCTGTCGACCCCAGAGGCTGAGCTTTTCTTCTCACCTGAGCCCTGCGGGAGAGTTGTCAGCAAAACGAGTGAGGTCAGGCGCCTGGCCCTCCCTTCCACGCTGCTCCTCATCTCTTTGACTGAGCACCCAAGAACCGTGGCGGAGAGGCTGTCCCCTCTCTGGTCACACACTCATTCCCATCAACACCGTCCACCTTCTCTCCAGCTCCTCACAGAGACCTTGAAAATAACGATGATGATGATAATAATAATAACGGCTGAGCAAAATAATGCTTATTGTGTGCCAGGCACTATTCCAAGCGCTTTATATAATTAACTCGTTTAATCCTTCCAGCACCTCCATGAGCTGAGTGCTCTCACGATCCCCATTTTACAGATGAGTAATTCGAGGCACAGAGAGGTTAAGCAACTTGCCTAAGGTCACACAGCTTGTTGTAAATGGCAGAGCTGGAACTCAAACCCAGGCTGTTTGATTCCAGAACCCATACTCTTATTCATACCGCGATGGCTACTCTGGCCCAAGGGGTTCCCCTCTCCATTTTCCAGCTGGAGAAATTGAGTCTTTAGCAAGGTCACTAGACCAGGGTCACCTGCCAGGATTTGGCAGAGCCAAGATCCTAACCGGAGACTCCTGATGCATCTTGTCAAGATGCAAGAGCTCAGAGAGGGGGCTTCCTCTTGCTCCAAGTCACACAGCGCAGAAGTTAGGCCTGACCCTCAATGCCCGGCTCTGTGCCCTTGCTGGTCTCTGCTGGCCACAGGCTGACCTCCCTCTCCTGGCCTGCCCCCCCAGGCCCCCAACACCGCCGCCATGCCGTTCGGGAACACCCACAACAAGTTCAAACTGAACTACAAGCCCGAAGAGGAGTACCCGGACCTCAGCAAGCACAACAACCACATGGCCAAGGCGCTGACCTTTGACATCTACAAGAAGCTGCGCGACAAGGAGACTCCATCGGGCTTCACTCTGGATGATGTCATCCAGACAGGTGTGGACAACCCAGGTAAGCGCGTCACAGGGAGGAGGTGGGGGCTCAGGGAGGGGCTGCCAGGCCTCCATCCCACCTCCTGGGTCCTCAGTTTCCCCACCTAAAAAATGGGCCCCCCTGGTATGGAAACATTGGAATCAGCGCCGGAAACAAAGTGAGCTCTCGGGACCTGACAGGGGGTGCTATTGGTGCTGTGCTCGCTCTCCAAGGGCCCCCGCGAGGGCGAGGGGAAGTGGTGGCAGGGGCTCCGGTTCCCGAATTCGCCTGCGACTCATCGTAGCATCGAGGGGAGAGGCTCTCTCTTTCCCGGCCTCTCTCTCCCCATCTCGGAAACAACCGGATCTTTCAAGTCTCTGCTTATCTGTGGGAGCTGATAGTTGAAGCTTCTGAAAATTTTTAGGTAAAGCCTCCAGGATTTGGGGACTCTGAAATGGGAATACTTTTCATACCTTGTCACTGGCCCCCTGAAACTCCCTTCCTGCTCTGCTGGGCCCCCCAGCATTCTTCTCTCACCCCAGATGCCACCTTGACCTCTCCCAGCCTTCCCACCCTGTCCTGCCAACCCTCGGCCTTCTCACTTCTGACCCAGAGGTCTTGAATGAAGCTCTGCTCACACACACACACACACACACTCGTGCGTGCACGCACACACAGACTACACTGGACCCAGGAACCCAGGCCTTCCCTGCTGGGGACAAGCACCTCTGACCCCACCCTGACACCCCCAGGTCATCCCTTCATCATGACCGTGGGCTGTGTGGCCGGTGACGAGGAGTCCTACGTGGTTTTCAAGGAACTCTTCGACCCCATCATCCAGGACCGGCATGGGGGCTACAAACCCACCGACAAGCACAAGACTGACCTCAACCACGAGAACCTCAAGGTCGGCTGCCCCCAGGGGAGGGGAGGCCTGGGGGACAGAGGGCAGAGGGAGCAGGACGGAGGTGGAGAGAGACGCAGAAGGACGGAGGTGGGAAGGAGCACTCAGAGACACAGAGATGGAGAGAGAGACAGAGGGAGATGGGAAGAGAGAGAGGGACAGAGAGACACAGGGACAGACAAGGAGACGGGCGGGGGGAGAAGCACAAATCAGACGTGTAGAGAAGGGAGAAACAGAGGCACAGAGACAGGATGGAGAGGGTCAGAGATGGGAAGACAGACAGGGAGAGAGAAGAAGAGAAACAGAAATAGCGGGGAAGAGAGGTTTGGAGAAAAAAATAGGGACAGATGAGAAGACAGCAGCGAGCCAGAGAGGATGGAGGATCTGGGGGAGACGGGCTTGCTGGGGAGGGGGCAGCTGGGGAGGCGCGCCCAGGAGGGTCCACCAGGCCCTGACCCCCACCCGTCCTCCAGGGTGGAGACGATCTGGACCCTCATTACGTGCTCAGCAGCCGCGTCCGCACTGGCCGCAGCATCAAGGGCTACACGCTGCCCCCCCACTGCTCCCGCGGGGAGCGCAGGGCGGTGGAGAAACTCTCCGTGGAAGGTGAGACCCCTACCCTGCCCACCCTGGGCTCACCCAGCTCTGGCTCTGCTCCTCCGTGGGCAGGTCTCTGGCTCCCTGGGCCCCCATATCCCAAAACACGGAAGGAGCTTGGTAAATAATGGCTGCTTGGTGAGTGACAGCTGGCAGTATTATCCCTGGTGGAAGTCTGGGGGGCTGTTAAGACATGAGGGGCCTTGAACAGATCCATGCAGATGCCCACCTGCACCGGAGTCCTGACATCCATGCATCCATCCAACCATCTATGCATCCACCCATGCATGCATGCATGCATCCATCCGTCCATGCACCCTCCCATCCATCCACCCATCCATGCATCTATCCACCCATGCACCCATGCACGCAACTATCCACGCACGCATGCGTCCATCCATGCATCTATCCATGCATGCATGCATGCATCCATCTATCCATCCATCCATCCATTCATCCATCCAGCAAACATTTGCGGTTCTTATGGCCCTGTGTGGGGAGCTGGGGCCCCCAAGGTGAATAAGATGGACAAGGTCACAGCTCTCACAGGGCTGTTAGCCTGCTGCGGAGATGAGAAGAAACACAGAAACCAATCAAGCAAAGAACAAGATAATTCCAAAGGGCCATGAAGCCACGAAACAAGGGGTGTGGCAGAGGATGACGGAGGGGAGCTAGCTTAGAAAGGAGGGTTTGAGACCTGATTGACAAGGAGGAGCCTGCCTTGGGAAAAATTCCAGGCAGGTGGAACAGCAAGTGCCAAGCCGCTGAGGTGGGAAGGTGTGTGGGAAGAGCAAGGAGATCTGAGTGGCTGAAGCCGCGCGGGCGAGGGGGAGAGGGGAGGAGTCGAGGACAGAGGGCTGCAGGCGGGCAGGTTGTGCAGAGCCTGTGGGCTGTTGGAAGGTGGAAGCCATGGGAGGGTGGCGCGCAGAGGAGGGACTGGTTCAGACTTCCATGGATCCCTCTGGCTGCTGAGTGGGGAAAAGACTGCCAGCAAAGAAGGAGCAGAGAGACCAGGAGGGGACAACTGCAGTGGTCCAGGCAAGGGATGAGGGATAGCAATGGGATGCAGAGAAAGAGTGGGTATGTTTTGGAGGTAAAACCCATAGGACTATGGTTGTTCCGGTAAATGTTTAACAACTGGCTCTCAAAAAAAAAAAAAAAAAAAAGCCCTGATTTGCAATGGCTGCCAATTTCTGTGGGGTAAATTCTCCCACCACGGCCAATTGTAAGTTATCAACGTGACGTCATACAGAGACGGGAAGAGGCGCAAAGAGATGCCAGGCAGCAAATCATTATATAGTATTTCCGCCACACAGATACGATAGATGAAAGTGGCTTCAAGAATATAGATGATGGTAAATGTAGTAGAATAATCAGGAAGTGATAGTTTTGAGGATTTATTACCTTTGTTTTAAGTATAATTTAGTCAATTGTAAGTTTACATATTTTATTTTTAACAATATACTATAGTATATAGTATAGTATAGTATATATATAGTATAGTATACATATAGTATATATATAGTAATGTATAAAATGTATATAAATATGTATATATTATGTAAATATTATGCATATATACATATATTTATTATCCACAAAACGTATAATTATTATGCATAGGAATATATGCGAATCCTATATATACTGTATGATAGTAATTTTGACTGATGGCTCCCCAGATTCCTGAGACATTGACTTTCTGGAGTGGGCACCGGGATAGTGTTGCTTGCCGGTGCACTGGATGCGAGGGGCAGGGTGTGAAGGGAGAGTCCACTTGGGAGAGAGCACTTGGGGTGGCTGTTCCGGGGACCCGGGCAGACAGGGGAAGAGCATGCTTCAGGGGATGTCATGAATTTGGGTTTACATCGCGTATAGTTGCCTTTAGGACCTCCACGGGGCCAAGGTCCAGGTCTGTTAGGGACAGCAGTGAGGGGTCCCTGGGCCCCCACACCCTGCTTGAGGTGGGCAGGCTGCTGACCACGCTGCCGTGTGGCCCCTCAGCCCTCAACAGCCTGACGGGTGAGTTCAAGGGGAAGTACTACCCTCTGAAGAGCATGACGGAGCAGGAGCAACAGCAGCTCATCGACGACCACTTCCTGTTCGACAAGCCCGTGTCCCCGCTGCTGCTGGCCTCAGGCATGGCCCGAGACTGGCCCGACGCCCGTGGCATCTGGTGAGGTGCCCCCTGTCCCAGGGCAGCCCCTTCCCCCCAACCCCCTCCCGTCCCCCCCTCACCTTCCTCCTCACTCCTCCACCAATGTCAAGACCCTACAAATAATGACCTTGCCAAGTGCCCCAGAAAATGATCTTGCCCCCCCGCCCCTGCCTTCCCTGTGGTCTGTGTGTCACATTTTGGGAAACTTGGACCAGAGAGGTGGCAGTTAGGAACTCAGGCTCGAGCCAGACTCCCTGGGCTCAAATCCCAGGGCCACCGCTTAGCAGCTGTGTGACCTTGGGTGCATTATTTATTGTTTCTCTGCCCCAGTTTCCTCCTGTGTAAAATGGACATCACACTAATTCATAGCTGAGGATTAAATGAGCTCACTTACGTAACGTACTGGAAACAGCACCCGGTATCCAGGAAGTGCCAGTCCATCTCGGCTGTTAGTATGATCTTTACCACTAACTATTGTTGCTAGTTAGGCTTTCCATGAATCTTTGAATCCCTGATTCTCAGAGGCAGGATTTAAAAAGTTTTCCAGAATCTAGGTTTCAAACGGTTTGAAGCGTCTGGGTTCTAAGTTGGCCAGATTGGATGAGTCTAAGATTTCAAGATTTTAAATATTTTTAGGTCCTCAGATCCCACTCATTTCAGATTCTGTGATTCCGTGGTTTCAAACATTTCCAGATCCTGAAGTTTTATGACGCTAAGACTCTGTTCCAGAGATGTCACAATGTGATGGGAAGGTTGTCTGTCCTGAGACCAGATGTAGGATTTCCAAGATTTATCCATTCTGATTCCGGGCATCTATTTTTTAAAGATTCTGAGATTCTAAGACTCAAAGACTTAAGACCCTAAAAGCCCTTGATCCCAGGATTCGAGCTTTCACACACCCTGGGACCGTTAGTGTCCGCCGGCTTAAGCTTCCGCGGTTTTGAAGAAGCCGATGATGTCCCGCCTCCTGCCCCACAGGCCCGCTGCCCAAGAGCGGGGGGCATGTGTTTGCAAGAGGGAGGAATGGGGTTCCCGCGGAGCTGATTCCTTCGCCTCTTGCTGCCCCCCACCCTAGGCACAATGACAACAAGAGCTTCCTGGTGTGGGTGAACGAGGAGGACCACCTCCGAGTCATCTCTATGGAGAAAGGGGGCAACATGAAGGAGGTTTTCCGCCGCTTCTGCGTCGGGCTGCAGAAGGTGAGGGCCTGCCGCTCACTGACTTCTGACTCCACCCTGTACGCCCCCCAACTTCCCAAGGCCCCGCCCCTCGGATCCCGGCTCCTCCCCATGCCCAAAGCCCCGCCCCTCACTATCCGCCCCACCCACTTCCCAAGGCCCCGCCCCTCGGGCCCGGGCTCCTCCCTATGCCCAAAGCCCCGCCCCTCACTACCCGCCCCACCCCTTCCCAAGGCCCCGCCCCTCGGACCATGACTCCTCCCTATGCCCAAGCCCCGCCCCCAGCACTCACCCCACCCACTTTCCAAGGCCACGCCCCCTGGAACCCGGCTCTTCCCCTATGCTCAGGCTCTGCCTCTAAGAACCTGCTTCCAAAGCATCTTCGAGCGCAGCACCCTTGGAATGCTTGCACTGTCTGTGTCATGTGGCCCCTCCTCACAGAATCTCCTCCCTCCTGGGTTCCAGCCCCGCCCCCTCGGAACCTCGCCCCCACTCACATCCTCACGCCTTGTCCCTCAGAACGCCCTCCCGGTCGCGCGTGTGTTTGGCGACCCCCACTGGCACTGACCCCTGGTCCTCTTCCCCCTGCCTCAGATTGAGGAGATCTTCAAGAAAGCCGGCCACCCCTTCATGTGGAACGAGCACCTGGGCTACGTGCTCACCTGCCCATCCAACCTGGGCACGGGGCTGCGTGGAGGCGTGCACGTGAAGCTGGCGCACCTGAGCAAGCACCCCAAGTTCGAGGAGATCCTCAAACGTCTGCGCCTGCAGAAACGGGGCACAGGTGCGGCCCCGCGGCCCCGCACGCGGCGTCTGGGGCGCGCCCTGTGCGGCGGCAGAAGGGAAGCGGGGGCATCCCTGCGGGTTCTGGGGTCGGGGAGGCTGCCGCTCTGTGAGCCTCAGTTTCTCTCTCTGCAAATGGCCATCAGCACGCCTTATTTCATAGGAGTCAATATGACAGCATCATGGTTGTACAATATACCTTGTGTACGTCCCCGGCTTCCTAGGGGCCTCAGTTTCCCATCTGTAAAGAGGAGGATGGTGGGGGTTCGATCCCAGGCAGCCTGGCTCCGGAGCTCACTCTTACCCACCATGCTATATTTTCTTGTTGGATGGTTGAGGGGTGAGGTACCCAAAGCCGGAGACGGGGGAGCTTGAATAGACAGACGTCTAGGGGGCTCTGCGTGCACGCAACCTGTTACACAGTAGGCACTCAATACATGCGGCTGTCGCAGTTGGCACGGGGGCCGCGTCCCGACCCCGCCCCTGCACGTCTGCTTCCTCCTCACGCCCTGCCTCCTGTTTCCGCAGGGGGCGTGGACACGGCCGCCGTGGGCTCCGTGTTCGACGTGTCCAACGCCGACCGGCTGGGCTCGTCCGAGGTGGAACAGGTGCAGCTGGTGGTGGACGGTGTGAAGCTCATGGTGGAGATGGAGAAGAAGCTGGAAAAGGGCCAGTCCATCGACGACATGATCCCCGCCCAGAAGTAGGCGCCCAGCCTGCCCGCCGCCGTCGACTGCTGGAGCCCCAGCCCCCGGGAGGCCCGGGCCCCCTGGAGGCCCGCCCCTTCGTCCCTGGCCCCGCCCCTTTCCTCCGGAGGCCCGATCGTGGTTGGGTCCACCCGGGGCTCTATCCATCCATCTCGGAGTTCCGATTCCAACCACAATTCCAACCAATGGGCTCCATCCTCTGGGTTCTGGCCAATAGGAAGCCTCCCTCACGCGCTCTCGTCTTCCGGAGCTCCGCCCACCACCTGGAGCTCTCGCTGGTGGAGCTCCCCAGCGCATCTGGGGCTGGTGCTTTTTCTCCACGCAAAGCAACAAATAAAAGCAATGGTGGCCTTAGCTTTGTGTGCGATGCTTATGGAGGGAGGAGAGACTTTTGCAAGTGGCCGCTGTGTGACTTCGAAGTGGTTCGCCCTTTCTAGGCATCTTTTATCACATCTCTAAAATGAAGCCAAGTTAGGGGACAGAGTCAAATCCAAAAATTGTAAGGCTCCGTGGGGGAATCTGAGATCCAGAGAGGTGTGGCTCAGTGTCACATAGCCAAGCTTGGGCCCTTCCCAAACTCGACTCCCGATCACTCAGGCTCAGATCTCTAACACAGGGTTCACTCCAGGGAGAAATGCAGGCCCAAGAAAACGTCTAAGACTTGAATGTGGCCCCCGGGCCTCCAGTTTGAGACCTCCCGTGCATCTCATCATATATACCTCATTATGCTTTTCACTGGCCGCCTTCTGTGCTGCGTGACTTCATCCCTCTGTAGCTGCTACCAGTCTTTTCAACTTCCCTAACCTGGCTCACGAACCTGCCATGGCTCCCCGCATCTCCTAGAACGCACTCCTATTATTTGCGATTCTTCAAGGTCAAACTGCAATGTGTACCCTTTGCTGAAGGCTCATCTTTCCAGTTCTTTCCCCATGATTCCTATATACACTTTCTCTCCTTACACCCAGCAATTGCCACCTCAGTGTCTTTGCTCCAGCTGTTTCCTCCTCCAGACTGGGGCTTGGGTCAGAGCATTCCCGTAAAGTTTTTGGGGACGGGCCTTCTGGAGAGCTCGGTCCCAGGAAAGGGCCGTGGGCGGAGCGGGAGGGGCCGATAATAGAAGTCAAGAAGAATCTGAACACGTATTGGGTGTTGGCCACGTCAATCACTTCTACGGGCCCCAGTAGGCTGAGGCCTCTGTCCGCCAGGGCACACGGTGGGCCCCCAAGAAGGCGAAGGTTTCGGAAGGAAACGTGAGGCAGAGTAAAGAAGACGGAGCCCTCTGTGACCTGGAGGAGGCGCTTTTTCAAACCTTAAGTCACACAGGTAAAGAGCTCTTAGGGATCAAGAAATCTACTCTCCGTTGGACAGAGGGGAAACTGAGGCCCAGGGAATGTCCCAAAGAGTTCCCGGAGACATTGCTGAAACGAGAAGAGACCCCAAAGGTCAAGGCAGGCAGGACCTGTCAGACGCTGGGACGTCCCTTGAAATATTGTCCCCAACTGCAGATCCCATCGCTAACTCCAGCTCCACCCCCCAGGCCACACAGACCACAAACACTGCAGCGGGGAGGGTGGGAGCCAGCCAAACCCGCAGTCCGGGCACCTCGCAGCTAGCACGCTTGTCCTACCCATTGCGCCCCATAAGCCTTAAACCCACCCCTTCTCACCTCACCTTCTGTCCCGCCCCGACCTCCTCCCTGCTCTTCTGACCTGCCTGCTTCCCTCCGTTCACAGCACAAACCTGCCCCTGCCTCTCCTTTGCTCACAACCTCACTATGGCTCCCCAGTGCCCTTGGAAGAAAGCCCAGGTTCCTCTCCACGACCTTCAAGGCTCTGCCAGCATCTCTCAGGGACTCTCTACTCACCCTGCATCCTACGACGTTTGCTGAAGGTCCTGTGCTCTCTTGCTTCCCAGCCATTGCACAGGCTGTTCCCTCTGCCTAGAATGCATGCCCCTCCACCAGGAAGCCCTCCTTGCTTGGGGCAGGCGCCCCCTCTGGACTTCCTCAGCCCCTGGGCTCCCCTACACGAGCCTTGCCCACTGTGGACCATCAGTGAGGATATAGGTGCCTCCCCTCCTGGACTGTGAGCCCCACGAGGGCAGGGCTGGGGCTGTCTCGGTCACCTCTGTGTCCCCAGCACAGGGCTGGGCACAGAGAAAGCCCTTAGGGATTGAGACTTCAAGACATGCTTGGTTCACCTCCACAGCGCATTTCCCTGCCCTCTCAACTATAAACACCTTTCAGCAGATCCCTATCCCGGCCTCACTTCTAAGACAGTAATGTGGTTCTGCCCCAGACCCTGAACTTTTCCCACGGACCACTCAATCTTCACTACCCTTCGTTTCTCATTTGAGTTCCTATCAGCCCCATGAACAAGACGAGGGTTGACTCTACCTGCCCCAAATGGGCAACTGAGACAGTTCTAAGTCTCTTCCTTGCATAGAACCCTCCATGGCTCCCCAGTGCCCGAGAATCAAAGCCCAGCTTGTTCAGTTTGGCCCACAATGTCCTGGTGAACAAGCCCTGCCATCCTATACTGGATGGCCCTCTACTGCTTAAGTCGACCAAGCTCCCACTTCCCTTCTGCTCACAACACCTTGCCTGTCCTTTGTGGAGCCCCCTCTAAGTCCAGCTCTAGGTACCGGCTGGGCCACTCCAGAGTCACAGAGACTGGTTCATGGATGATCACATGACTTATGTGGGCCAATGAGAGTCTGTCTCCAGACTTTCGCCGGAAGTTGGCAATGAAGAACTTTCTGCTGCAGAAACCAAGCTGGAGGAATGAAAGCTTGGAACTGCTGGGGTCATCTTTGCGACCCGGGAGTGCCCACTGGATGAAACTGCCGGAATGGAACTCACACTGAGAAAAGCAGAGGTGAGATGGCCTGCTGCCTGGATCCAGCCATACCTGAAGCCAGATGCCCTTGGACTATTAAATAACATAAGCAAACAGATACATTTTTGCTTAAGGGCAGATGGATTATTAGTCCTAATACAGCATTTCTCTTGCTAAATCTCCACCCACCCCAGCATAGCAGCCACACGGAAACAACCCACAGTTCTCTGAAGATATACTACACACTCCCACTTCCAGGCTTTTGCCCAGGGCATATCCAATACCTGGTCAACTCCTACACATCCTTCAAAGCCCAACTCCAGCACCAGTTCCCCCAGAGCACCTTCCCCAACCTCCTCTCACTTTCTTTTCTGGGCTCCCCAAAGCAACGGTTTCTTTAGCGTTTGCGTCAGAACCCACGTCCCCCAACACAGGGGCTCCTTGCGTCTGCGTGTCCAGCACTGGGCCTGGCATGGAGTAGGCACCGGTCAATGACTGTTTATTGAATAAATGTACTACCGGAGTAAGAAGTGGTTGAGAGTCCAGTATGACGTGGGTGGGGTCCGATACGGGAACTGGGGCCCCGTGGATGAGGCCGATTCTGCCCCGCCCTCCTCCACCGTCACCCTTGACCCTCGCACCCCCGCGGCTCCCATTCTGCAGATGAGAACACCGAGGCTCAGAAAGGAGGACCCACTCGCCCAAGGTCCCACACCTCCTCCTCGTCACACTTGCAGGGGAGGGCAGGGAAGGAAAACCCCGGGGGCAGCGTGGGGGAGGGGGGACTCTCCTAAGTTTATTGGGCGACAGGCTGCAGGTGAGGGGCTGACGGGGGCGGGGTGTAATAACTTAAAAACCGGAGGTGACAGCGGCAGCTCCTTGAGAGATCTCTGCAGAGGGGAGGGGGTGGGGGTATTTACACGGATTTGTACAAAGTGCCCCGCGCCAGCCTGGGGCAGGAAGGGGGGTTCGAGCACGAGGGGAGGGGGAGGGGAAGGAATCTGCCTCTCGGACCCCCACTCCCAGCCCTCCTCCCACCCATTCTCCAGTCTTTAGGCTCAGTTAACTCCTCCGGCCCCTGCCCAAGCCCTAATTCTTGAGCCATCGGGAGGAATGGAAGAGCTTCCTCAGTTTCCCTTTCTGCCCCGGCCCTGCCCCCAGAGTCTCCTCAGGTGCCCCATGGCAGGGCGAGGGGGGACAGGACCTCCTGGAGGCTCCAGGAAGGTGCCAGCTCCCCCTGCCAAGCACCCTCGCTCTTCTCTCATGCCCAGCGACCCCGCAGAACAGCCGAGGGGACAATCTTGGCCCCTAAACCGACTTCAGGGAACCTCAGGTGATGACAAAATGAGAATCCCCTCCCTGACCCCAAGGGGAGGGGACGAGGAAGAGGAAGGGGAGGGGACCCGGGGCCGTGGCGGCTCAGAGCTCGAGGTCGTTGGAGATGCGAGTGACCAGGGTGCGGAAGGCCAGGGCGGTGCCCGCCACGCGGCGGAACAGGACCCCCCGCAGGCCCGGCCGGGGCAGCTGGCAGACCTCCACTTCGAAGTGGGACAGGGGCTCGGGCCCGCCCGCACCCCCGTGCAGGCAGGCCAGCAGGAACGGCTGGGGCTGGCGGCAGCGGCAGCGGGCGGCCGCCGTGGCCTGGCGCAGGGCTGCCATCAGGGCCTCGGGCGGGCGCGAGCTGGTCAGCTTCACACTCCAGGGGAATCGGAGCAGCCGGGGGGCGGTTTCCGCTTGATCCCAAGGTAGATGGCAACTGCGGGGGGAGAGAGGACGCTCAAAGGAGAGAAGAGGACGGTAACCCGTCTCCCCCTTTCTCATCCCAGTGACAGTTTCAGCTGGACACGCAGCTGCCCAGCCAGAGACTACATTTCCCAGCCTCCCCTGCGGCCAGGCGCGGCCATGTCTCCCAATTCCAGGATGCGAGCGGAAGGGATGCGCGCAATTCCGCGCACACCGCCTCTTTCAAAAGACACCAAGTGCCCTGGACTCTGTAGCCCCACTCGGCTGCAGCATGAGCCACCCTCTGCTGCGAAGATGACCACAGGGCTCAAAGGGATGGGGATGCAAGACCCCTGGCTCCCTGAGTGACCTCATGGAACAAATTGGCCCTGCCAGCCTGGCCAGGCCACAGAGGGTGCGAAGGAGAGAAATTTACTGCCGTCTGTATTTGGGGGCGGGGGGGGCGGGTCTCTGCTCCAGCAGCTGAGCTTGCTTCCTAGGTAATACGTCCTTCTGGTAACAATCACCGTTTTTGGAGGCCCAGCCCTCCCCACTCTAGGGCACAGGCTCTCACCTAGAAGCCGTACTACCCCCCAACGGGTATCTGGACATTTCTGGGGCTTTGTGAGTGCCACAATGTCTTGGGATGGGCGCACCGGTGGCATTTATTAGGTTGAAGGGGAGGGATGGGAGATGATGCGCGTTCGGCAGTGCGGGAGGGGGCCCTGCACAACAAGGAAACGTCCCGCCTAAACTACCCACAATGCTCCTCTTCAGCAGCATCCCACATGGAGACTTCCTGGTTCAGGAGGGGACTCCACTTCTCAGCTCCAAGGGGCAGCACGTGACTCAGTTCTGGCCAATGAGGACATTCCACATCCACTGTGATTGGTTCAAGGCTGAGCAGATGACCAGGTCTGACCAATCAGAGAACTCCCTGTCCCTGACTACAGGCATTGGTTTAGGGGTGGACATGTGACCCCATTCCAGCCAATGAGAGTGAGTCCTGGGACTTTGTCGAACCTACCGGGGAAGCTGTTTATTCCCACTGGGGTCTCTCCATTGCTACTGTGTCAAAGGAGGCAGGGCTTGGCCAAGGACGGGCTGCCTGCATTTGTCAATAAAGTTTTATTGGCACACGGCCACATCTATTTTTTTTCCTATTGAATACGGCTGCCTTTGTGCTGCAATGGCAGAGCTGAAGAGATGAGACAGCGGCTGTCTGGCCCTCAAAGTCGAAACTATTTCCCACCTAGGGCTGTACAGATAATGCCTGCCACCTGATGGCCCAGAGGTGCCTGCGACCGCCCTGCCTCACTGGATGAGAGCGGAGGGGAGGCGTGGTGTCAGCAGGGGGAGGGGTCGGTTGTAGATGGAAGAGGCTGAAGTTAAAGACGGTCAGGGGATGGAGCTCAGGGATGCAGGTGGGAGTGAGGGGAAATCCTTGGGGATGGGAGCTGCGCTAAGAAGAGCAGAGGAGGGACGGTCACAGGGCATTTCAGGAAGCTGGCCTCGGAGGATGAGGCTCAGGTCCCATCTAAGGGTCTAGGGGAATGGGGGCAGGTGCTGAGACACCTGGCCAGAGGAGGGGTGGGGGCTGGTGTGGTCGCCAGGGGCAGGCACACGACTCACCTTGTGACCTCAGGTCCCCCGATTCTCTCAGGTTCGTCTGCGACCCTAAGGGAGGGGAGGGGGACAGTGTCTCATCTGGACATAGGGAGCCCCTCCCCCAACCCACTGCCTCCAGGACTCGGGGCAGCCCCCCCGGCTGAGCCCCAGTCCCTTCCCCCTGGCTGGAGCTGGACCCGGGAGGGCCGGGAATCGGGATCTGAGCTCCCTCTCCCTGCCCAGAAGGGGCGCCCAGTGTGAAATGGTTAGTGCAGGTCAAAGGAAAGAGACGGAAGAATCTGGAAGACGAGAGAGAAAGGGTGGCGGGTGGAGACACACACCTACATACAGAAGGGGCCACACACACACACACACACACACCCCTCTCCTTCAGGCTTTGCTCATATGACACCTTAGGGAGGCCCACCCCATTTAAAACTGCACCCTCCCTCTCCACACCCCGCGCCCCCTTCCCTGCTCTATTTCTCCCCTTAGGACTTGTCACCACACGAGAGTCTATACATTTTATTTATTTATTGTCTAGTGTCCGGGTCTAGTAGAACGTTGGCTCTGCCTGGGGAAGGATTTTACACATTTTGTTCACGCTCTACTCCAGGGCCGAGGCTGGCCCCAGGCACACAGTAGGCGCTCAGTGAGTAACAGCAAACATTTATAAAGCATTTTCCAAGGCAACAGTCTAAGCTCAGTCCATATCTCACGTCGTTTAGTCGGCGCCACAAACCCTATGAGGAAGGTGCTGCTATTACTATCCCCCTTTTACAGAAAAGGAAAGCAAGGCCCAGAGAGGTTGAGTGACTTGCTCAAGGGCACTCAGCAAAGCTGGGGGATGAACCCGGAGTCTGGCTCCAGAGGCCGGACGATTGTTTATCAAATGAGTGAGTCAACGAACCACCAGAGCCCACCTACAGACCCCATCCCCGCTCCCGGAGCCCCCTTCCCCCGATGCCTGCACACACAGATCAGACATGCAGACAGGGAGGCAGAGCCAGGAGAGCAGAGGGGGGTCGGGACTTACTGATCTTGGATCCCTGGGGCAGAGAGGCGCCCGAAACACAGCGGTTAGAGTTCTGGCGTTTAGAGGGATCGAGGGTAACCCTGCAGCGTGAGGAGGAGGAGGAGGAAGAGGAGGAGGAGGAGGAGGAGGAGATGTCGGGGCACAGGAGGACGGAGCAGAGTAGAGACAGGTTAGACCCCATCAGCCCCATCCCGCTCCCGCCCCCACGGCCGGGGAGGCTCACCTTCGCGTCAGTTTCGAGGTCAGCTTGGTGAAGAGGTTGGTGGTGGGGCGGGGCCGCCCGGTGGGCAGGGGCGTGGCCTCGTGGGCCAGCGTGGGAGAGGCGGGGGGACCGTTCTGCACGCCCCCACCTCCCCCGCCCCCTGCCCGCCTGTCCCGGACCTGGCCACCGTGGAAGGTGCTGCGGATGGTGGAGCCGCGAGCCAGGCGGCTCCGCTCCCCTGATGGGGGAGCCAGGCTGTGACTGGAGGGGGAGGCGGGGGGCACCCGTGGGGTACCCGAGCTGTGGGCAGAGAGGGACGAGTCAGGGTGGGGCCTCGAAGAAGGTCAAGAAACCCCAACCAAGCTAGAGCTCAGAGACAGGGCTGCCTTGTACAGTTGTCCAGGCTGTGTACTGTACAACCCTAGTATTATTTTACCAACTCTTCTCCCCTCTTAAGTCATCCCTTCTTCAAACTGTCCTTTCTTCAATCTCTACCCCCTCCAAACTGTCCCCTACCCGCTCTCCTCTCTCCAAACTCAGCAATAAATAGATTCAGATATATTTTTGCAAGAATCTCTTGCTATTTGCCATCCAAACCTCAGGAGCCAAATCAACTTTGCGAACACTCTGCTGTCTCAACTTTCATTATGCAAACTCGGGAAAAGGAACAGATGTGAAGGTCAAGAGTACCTATATTCATTATGACAATTTTTCAACAGGTGAAAATAAAGAGTTAGAGACCTTCTTCCTAAATTTCCATTGTCCCAGGACCCCCCTCCAGCCCTTCTGGCCCTCCCAGTCCTGCCAGCAGGGACTAGACCTCCAATTTCTATTATTCCAGGGACCCCAGGACCAGCCTGGATCACAGAGGGGGAACCCTGACTGTGGCAGATGCCCCCATGTCTCCCTCACAATCCATCCTCCTCCTTTTATTCTTCGTAACCAAACCTCTAAGAGGAGGACACATGGCCGCCAGCCAGAGACTACACTTCCCAGCCTCCCTTGCAGCTAGGGGTGGTCATGTGACTATGCTCTAGCCAATAGGATACAAGCAGAAGTGCTTTGTACTATTTCTGGGTCAGGCCTCTAAAGAGAAGGCAGTTTGTGCTCCACTCTCTTTCCGCCCTTCTTGCTGGTTGGGAAATGGTGGCAACTGGTGCAGCGGCCTTGGACCAGAGCAGGAGCCTCATGCTGAGGTTGGCAGAATCAACCTGGGTCCTTGGAGGGCCCTGGCCTCCTACGTCTGGATGCTTAGGTCACAGTGGACTAAAGCTCCATTTTATTTAAGCCACTGTGCCTTGGGGACTCTCCGTTACAGCAGCCGAGCCTATAATCTAACTGGACACTGTCTCCTGACCAGAACTGAAGGCCATGCCTTATCAGCGGTTACAAATACAGATCCCAGAGTCAGTCTCGAATCTTTGCTCCTCATCAGCTGTGTGGCCTTGGACAAGTTACTTAACCCCTCTGTGCCTCATTTCCTCAGCTGTAAGATGGAGAAACCTCACAGAGCTGTCAGGGGCATTCAACCAGCTAATATACAGAGGCCTGGCACATGGTTACTGCTTGATGAATGTTAGCTATTATTATTTTTATTTAATAACCACAAAAAAAGCTCTTAGTCATGGAATGCCTACTATGTCCCAGACCGTGTGCCAGGTACAGGACGCACCTGATCTCTACTGGATCCCTCTAATGGGGCCCGGAGGCAGAGAACATCACCCCTGGCTTATAGGGGAGGAAAGAGAGGCTCAGAGACTTGTCAAAGGTCATCTTGCTAACAGAGTGCAGAGGCCAGATTTGGAACTCAGAGCCACAGAATTCCTGCTATCCATCACTCATTTCCCTGCCCCACCCAGGAGGAACACCTGCATCCCTTTATGACGTGCTTCCCAGAGTGCACCTTGGCATCCCATCCTACAGCCCCGGGGCGGGGGGCGGGGGGGGGGCGGTTGTGTCATTATCCCTAAGCCCGCCCCCGTCCTGGACTTGAACCGTGATCTGAACTAACTCGTTCTCTTTTTAGGCTCCAGCCGGTCGGCACTGGTTTCCCTCACTTCCCAGCTGAAAGGGATGGAAGGAACTCAGGCAAAGAAGTCTGAAAACCAGCCAACCAGAGGATGCTGGAGCTGTGACATTCTGGGGCTTCTCTCGAGTTCTAAAAACGGATCATTCAAAAAACAACAATCCACTCAGGTTCCCAAGGCTGGTGGGCGGAGGACAGGGCAGGCTGGTTTCCTGGTGTTGGTGACGACTCCATGAAGGGGGGTGTCTGCGAGGGGGCGGACGTGGGTGGATTCTGCCAGGGGCAGGGCACACGCAGACACTCCGCAGTCCCCGCTGGGGCCCCCTCCCCCACGTCTGTCAGCTCAGCCCCAGGGGGCCCTGCTCCCTCCCCCCGTCCCGTCGCGCCCGTCTCCATACCTGTTCTCTTTGCCATTTGGCAACAAGGACGGGCGCTCGGCCCCTGGCCGTTCTGTGCAAACGTAGGTGTTTCTGCGGGTCATCATGCTGGGGGGCAGGTTGTTCTGTGGGAGACACGGCCAGGAGGGGGGTGAGGTGGGGCAGGCACAGCCCTTAACGCACCCCTTTTCCGTTCTTTGGCCTCCATCCTTATGAAGGAGGTAGAGGCCTGTGTGTGGACCGAGGGGGAGCCGGAGATGGTTCACGCCGGGCCATCCGGAGGTTACTGGGCCATGCCAGCAACGCAGGCTGAGCCACGGGAGCCGAGAGGAGGCGGTCGGGCAGGATTCCCAGGCGGCAGCTTTGTCCCCCACCCCTCTCCTAGCTCCCCCACCTGGGAACAGTCCAGCCACGTCAAGCTTTCTTGAACATCCTTCATGCCACATTTTGCCTCTGTGCTCAGCCCCGGGCTGTCTCATCTGCTAGTTACGCCTCCTGACTCACGCCTGTGTGTGTGCAGGTGTCTGTTCCTAACACACCCCACCCTCGGCCCCAGGCTGACTCAGGGGCCTCCTGGGGGCCCCCTGCGACAGCCTTTCTCCCTCTGTATTGTCAGTCTGTTCGCATATATGTCCCACCCGGACTGGGCACCGTCTCTGAGGACAGAGGACACCACGCCAGGATTATGTCGCCTCATACATATGCTGGTTAGCGATCCCTCTTTTTCTGTCCTCTACAAGTGTGTCTAAGATCAGTATTATTCCTTCTTTCCGTGTTTCCAAGAATTCCACCAGTTAGCGCTATCTGGGTCTGGAATTTTCCTTATGGGAAAGTTTGAAATCATGGATGCAACTTAACAAGAACCTAAGACTGTCCAGGTTTTCTATTTCTTCTCACGTCAGTTTCGGTAAATTGTGTTTTTAAACATATCCGTCCATTTCATCGAAGTCATCAAATTTACTGGTATGAGGTTGTTCCTAATAGCTTCTCACTTGTTTTTTAAAGATTTTTTTTTCTCCTTTTTCTCCCCAAAGCACCCTGGTGCATAGTTGTATATTCTTCGTTGTGGGTCCTTCTAGTTGTGGCATGTGGGACGCTGCCTCAGCGTGGTTTGATGAGCAGTGCCACGTCCGCACTCAGGATGCGAACCAACGAAACACTGGGCCGCCTGCAGCGGAGCGCGCGAACTTAACCGCTCGGCCACGGGGCCAGCCCTCTCACTCGTTTTTTATGTTGGAACATAGTTCTCGTTTTCATTTCTGATATGAGTAATTCGCGTTTGCTGTCTTTTTTTCTTAACCAGTTTTGCTAGGGGGTCCGCTGATCTTACTCATCTTCTCAGGAGCCAGCTTTCGGCTTCGTTCATTTTCTCTAGTGTACATCTGTTTTCTCCTTTATTGACTTGTTATTTCCTTCCTTGGACTTCTTTTGGAGCTAATTTGCGGTTCCTTTTCTAGCTTCTGAAGGTGTGGGTTTCTTGTAGCCATAACAATAGCTCTCATTCATTGAGCGCTTACTGAGCCCGACACTGGGTGAAGTACTTTCCGTACAAGATGTTACAAGAGGTTCACAACAATCCAAGTTCTCTGATGAGCCCATTTCACAGGGAGGAATGCTGAAGCTCAGAGAGGTGCAGTCACTTGCTCAAGGTCACACAGCTCATCAGTTTAATTCAAACTCTGGTCCGTGTGGCTGCAGAGTCCTGACCGCTTTCCGTATTGTGCCTGCACCCTCGTCTCCCGATGTTAAGGCTCCTTTGGTTCCTTCAAACCTCCCATTCTAGGGAGCTCCAGAAGCAGGAAAGCCAAATATTACATCCCTCAGACTCCTCTGAAGCTTGAGGTCTGCATATGAATGGGTCCTGCCAATCTTGGCACTCACGAAGATCTGGAAGGTGGAAATGGGGTGGCAGCCACCTTCCCATCCCCTCTGACTTGCGCTCATACAGGCAAGGTCACGAGCTGAGGGTCTTTGCTTCAGCGGGGCCCCAGGGCCCCTTCTCCAGACCTCTGGGCATCAAGGGGCCCTTCTGGCGGAGGATGGAGTCTGAGTCTTGACTGCAGCCGGGACCGTGCGTTCTTGAACTCCACAGCGCTAGAGGCAGCCTCCGACGTGGCAGCTCCCCGGGTGGGTCGGTTCTGCTGTGCTGATGTGTCATTCCTGTGGGTCTCGTCCACTGTCGGCTCCTCCAGCGCGTCCCACAATTTTGTCAGCACCTGACTCCCCGTATTAACTCCTTCCTCCCTAAAGCCAGTACAGTCCTCCTTTCTGACATGGAATGCTAACTTGTGCCCCAGCATCAAGCAGAAGGTCAGGACCCAGACAGCCTCCATAAGTGTTTGTTGAATGAGTGAGTGAACCGCTAGACCAAGGGGTCCTGTGTGCTGGTGTGGGGAACAGGACGCGAAACAGCAGGGCATGAAAAAGGAACCGGGAGGCCCCCTGGCCCGGCCCCCGAGCTCCGGCCACTCACAGGGGTGCTCGTGCTGTCCTTCCGCCGCTCTGGGATCTCTGCCTTGTTGGGGTTGTGAGCACTGCTGACCATCGGGCTGGAGGGGGGCAGCCCGCGGCTCCCGCTGCCCGCCGCACTGCAGCTCGCCTTCCGGCCCGGCAGACGCTCCTCTTTCAGCTCCGTCTCCCCCGTGCTGGTTGGGCTGCGCTTGGGGTGCAGGGGGGCGGGGGATGGGCCACCTGGGGGAGGGAGGGGACAGTGAGGGCTGATATCAACTGGAACAGCCAGAAGCTCCTCTGGGTGATCCTTGGGACCTCGGAACTCCTCGCCCAGGCTATGAGCTCTGCATAGGCCATTCTGACAATATCCGTCCCAATGACACACGCACAGCTACTGACCCAGAAACTCCACATAAATGACAAGATGCACAGACAGGTTACTCATTGCATCATCCTTTTCTTTCAGGCCAAAAGACTGGGCACAGCCTAAATGCCCCTTAACGGGGGAATGGCCGAACAAGTCAAGATATTTCCACCCGATGGAATACTACGCAGCCATAAAGAAGAACAAGGTGGGTTCTTACATACCAAAACGGAATGATCTTCAGGCTAAACTATAAATCAGAAAAGGCAAGGCATGAGGCCTACAGTGTGTTGTCACTTGTACAAAAAGGGGGAAAGTTTGTATCTATATCTATCTGTATCTACTTGTTTATATATGAATGCCTCTGACAGACTATCATTTGTATTAAAAGTGGAGAATATTATCTTCATATTAATATATGAACAAGGCATTTATCTATCTTTATATGTCTCTTTTCTTTCTCTCTTTCTCCTTCTTTTCACATCTATCTCTTTATATGTTTAGGTACAAATAAAATCTCTCCAAAAGAATTCATATGAAGCTGGTAACAGTGGCTGCCCCCAAGACAAGCTGGGGGTTGGGAGAAATGTGTAGGACAGACGTTTTTTTACTGTCTACCTTCTTCCTCCCATCGAATTTTAAGGATATGACTGTATTAGTTTCAAAACCAAATCTGGTCCTTTAGAATGTTTTGGGAATTTATGGTCTTAGAACAGGGGGTAAATGTGTAGAACTTCAGACAGTCAGAACTTCCATGTGTCAAATTCTCAGGAAACTTCATGTTCGAAAGTTCCAGAACCACAGTAAGCTGAGAGCTCTACAATGACTGACAGGGGGCCATCAACAGTCCCTCACCCCAGAATGCCTGCAACCCAGACGGTCTCTGTGTGGAGGTTTAAAAGGTTACCACGTTCTAACCATGGGATGTTGGAGTCACAAGCTTCTTAGGGACTTTCTGGGCCAATATATATATATATTTTTTTGGTAAGGAAGATTGGCCCTGAGCGAATCTTCCTCTAATTTGTATGTGGGATGCCACCACATCATGGCTTGATGAGTGGTGTGAGATCTGTGCCCAGGATCCAAACCTTCGAACCCTGGGCTGCCAAAGTGGAGCGCACAAACTTAACCACTACCCCACTGGGCCAGCACCCTAGTCTTGCTCTTTCATAGGTGGGGAAAGAGTAATGGCTTGACCATCCAGAAGCCCACACTTCCTGCTTAGGGCGGATGCTGAGCATCCTTGCCACCCTCTCCCCCTGCTGGCACCCACCCCCGAGGACAGAACTTTGCCCCTGCAGAGAAGTGGGGCTGCATCAACAAAGGAGAGTCGGAAACACCCGGGCAGTTCCTCCAACTGTTTACAGAGTTATCACGTGACCCAGCACTTCCACTCCCAGGTAAATGCCGGAGAGAAACGAACACATCCACCCACACAAAAACCCGCACATGAATGTTCACAGCAGCCGTGGTGGAAACAACCCAAATGTCCACCAGCTGATGACGGAGACACAAAACGCGGTACCTGCATGCAGAGGAATATTACGCGGCCATTAAAAGGGATGAAGCCCTGATCCAGGCTACCACGTGGACAGACTCTGAAAACATTATCCTAAGCAAAGGAAGCCAGACCCCAAAGGCCAGAGACCGTATGACTCTGTTTACACGAAATGTCCAGAACAGGGAAAGAGAGAGAGACAGAAAATAGATTAGGAGTTGTCAGGGGCTGGGGTTGGGGTGGATGGGGGATTGGAGGCTGATGGCTAAGGGTTCTGGAGTTTCTGTCTGGGCCAACGAGAATGTTCTAAAGTTGACTGTGGTGATGGAGCACCACCCCATAAATGTACTAACACCACTGAGCTGTGCACTTTAAACGGGTGAATTGCATGCTATGTGAATTAGGTCTCAATAGAGCTGCTAAAAAAAATAATGGGGAAGATGAACATTTGATGAGGGTGTAGGGAAGAGAACTCTTGGAAGTTTCTGTGCCTGATTTGTGGGATTGGTGGTGGCATCTACTTATTTTCTGCAGAGGAGACACCTGTCAGTTGTAGAATGTGGGGTATAATCAGGTGTCTGCACAGCCCTTTTCTACTAGTAAGGGCCTCCCTTCATCTCAGTGTGGAGGAGAGGCCAGAGGGCAGGCTCTCAGCAGCCACTTTGTACAATGTGTCCTCCTGCGTCCTAGTCAATATGGATTAATCTCAACTGGACCCTGATATCAGAGCTCCATCCCTGACAAGTGGATCAAAGAGATTCCAGCTCCCATTTGGGCTGGTCTCTAAAACCAACATGTAAGGAGCTGGCAAAAGGATTCGGTGAGATAAGTAAAAAAGAAAGGAAAATCGAGACAGGCAGAGTGGAAGCAAGACACAGAGTGTTTGCTCTGCATCTGGCTGCTTTTCCAGTTTCTAATCCCTTCCTGAGCTTGCCGCCTCCAAGTTCCACACAATGTCCCTGCGCCTTTATAAGAAATTCGTCCCTTCCCTGTAGTCGGCTTGAGCAGGTTTCTGTCGCTTGCAGCCAGAGAACCCTGACGTGACACAGGTCTGAGGCCTCGGGGCCAGAGATGGCGTGTGCGGGTGCAGGCCGATACTCACAGAAGTCGCTGTGCCTGCGCTGGCGGTGGTAGGTGGAGGACGAACTCCGCTGCCCTTTGCTGTGGCTGGTGCCTTTGCTGGAGCTTGTTCCATTGGTGGTGTCGCTGGGCGCCCGCACCCGTGCCAGGGCCAGCCCCGGGGTGCCCCGGTCCCCACCCTCCTGCAGGAAGATGACAGACGAGGAGCCTCAGACCCTGTCCCCTCTGTCCCAGACATCCCTCCACCCCAGGCATCGTGCCTCCCCAATGCCCCCGGCGCCTTCTGACCTCAGTCTTCCTGCCCAGCAGGAGGTAGGTGGCAGTCACTTCGTTGTACTTCTGGCTCGTCAAGGCCTCTTTGATTTCTTCCCGCGTGTAGCCCATACCCACCATCACCTCTGGGAGAGAGGGACGGAGAGGAAGTTCAGTCTCCCCAGACGCTTCCCTTCCACTCGTTTCTGCACCACACAGCGATGCCAGCTCTTTGGCGTCTCTAGTATCCAGGCCCCCTTCGGCCAGCAGCACCCTGATTTTCCTTGGAAGAACATTCCTTCCCTGCTCCCGTCACCTGGCTGACTCTTGCCTGTTCCAAACCCCAAGGGCAGGCATATAACCTGGGTCTGGCCAATCAGAGTGCTCCATCCCCAAGGCCACACTGATTGGTTCAGGGCAGGAATAGGACCCAGGTCTGGCCAATCAGAGTGTTCCATCCCCAAAGCCACACTGATTGGTTCAGGGCAGGCATATGACCCAGGTCTGGCCAATTAGAATGCTCCATCCCCAAAGGCACACTGATTGGTTCATGGCAGGCATATGACCCAGGTCTGGCCAATCAGAATGCTCCATCCCCAAAGCCACACTGATTGGTCCACGGCAGGCATATGACCCAGGTCTGGCCAATCAAAGTGTTTCATCCCCAAGGCCAAACTTATTGGTTCAGGGATAGCCAATGGGCACCAGCCTAGGGCTTCCATTGGAACATAAGGAAAGTGGCCTCTCTTCCTGATGGGGTGTCCAGGCCACTAGGATATGCTGTTGCCAGCTTGCTCCAGGGAGAGCTGCCTGGGAAAGAAGCCACCACTGAGAAGATTCCCAACCACTGCCTCTGAGCACCTGGATCCAGCTGTGCCTGAAGGCTGGCGTACCCTGGCCTTTTTAGTTCTGAGAATAACATCACTATTAGATTAAACCACATGAAACTGCTGGTATTGACTATTTTGAACCTATAAAAATGGCAATTTCATGTGATTCAACTTATTATTATTACCTAGTTCAAGCCAGAATGGCTTGGGTTTTGTTACTTGCAGCCATGAAAGTCCTGATCAATGCAGCCAGCTTTGATGGCGGCCTCAGTCCCCTCCGCAGTAGTAGGGAGGGTGACTGGATGGTTCCTAAGGGGCACTTCCAGGGCTAATGAATGTCTCAGGGGTCAAGAGTTCAAGGTTCCAGGCTGGAGGATTGGGACCAAAAGTGTGGTGGGCGAGGCACATGTCAAGCTGAGGCTCTCCTCCAAATGTGCAGATTACTGACGACCTGTGCACAAATTCTTCTAGAAGCAATCTATGATTTCTTTTTGCATCTTAATAATCAAAGCTAACACATCAGCACTTATCACACGCCTAATATAAGCACTTTACGTAGATGAACTCATTTAATATTCATAACAACCCTACAAGATACGTTCCACAATGATCCCATTTTATAGATAAGGAAATAGAAGCACAGAGAGGGGAAGAAACTTGCCCAGGGTCACACAGCTAGAAAGTAGCAGCACAGGAATTGGAGCCCAGATGCCTCTGCTCTCCCTAATTGCCTTGCAAACTCTTCCGATGCCCTAACCCAAGGCGTAGGTACTGGGGAGACCCTACCCCTGGCTCCCTGGTGCCCCCCCCCCCGGACCCTCACCAATTCGCTTGGTGTCCCCAAAGTCCTCCTCGGGCTCTGTGTATGGCTTCAACTCCTCACCCTCATAGCCGATGTTGATCCATTTGTCTTTCATGATTTGCTGAAGGAACCGGGAGCAGGACAGGGCAGAAGACAGATGTCAGAAGAAATCGAAAAAAATACAGCTCCCCACCTCCCACATGGGCCCCCAAGGGGGGCTATCGGCCCTGTCCCCCACCTCCAGCGCCTGACATCCAGAACCGAGGGTTTCCTGAGCGAGCACCTCCACCCCCGCCCCCTCCCGGAGCCTCCTGATGTCACCCTCCCACGTGCGTGTCATCTGGGGCCCCCAGCACCCTGTAATCACCCTAGGAGCTCATTAGTTAATTACTGGCAGGGCGGCGAGTGGGCGAGGCTGGGGGGGTTGGTGACAGGACGGGCCTGGGAGGCTTGTCTCGGGCAGCCCGCCCCCCTGCCCCTGCCAGGCAGGTGGGCGCAGGCCAGGCAGAGCGCGGGCCGCAGGCTCACCTCGAGAGTGCAGCGTTTAGCTGGGTTCAGCACCAAAAATCTTCGCAGGATGCTCTCACAGTCTGTCGACATGTAGAAAGGGACCCGGTACTTCCCTCTGAGGACCCGCTCCCGCAGCTCCTGCGGGGACGGCGTTACTGGGGGCGGGGCGCGCCACTCTCACACATGCGCGCACACGCACGCACTCGGCTTTGTCTCAACCTCCCCCAGAAGCGACAGCAGCTCCGAGGCCCAGCATCCCACCTCTCCCCTGACCTCAGCTCCCCGTCTGTAAAATGGGAACGTGGTATTAGATGCAGCAATTAAAAAAAGTTCTTTTTCATGGGGCTGGCCCGGTGGCGCAGCGGTTAAGTGCGCACGTTCCGCTTCTCGGCGGCCCGGGGTTCGCCGGTTCGGATCCCAGGTGTGGACATGGCACCGCTCTTCAAGCCATGCTGTGGCAGGCATCCCACATATAAAGTAGAGGAAGATGGGCATGGATGTTAGCTCAGGGCCAATCTTCCTCAGCAAAGAAAGAGGACGACTGGCAGTAGTTAGCTCAGGGCTAATGTTCCTCAAGAAAAAAAAAAAAAATCCTTTTCAAGCTCCATAATTTAACCTCCAGCCAAAGTGACTTCTGAAAGCCAGATCAGAGGGGAGGTGGGCAGGTGAGGCGGCCTGTGGGGCCTCAGTGTCCTTATCTGTAAACAGGGACCACATGCCCACTTCCAGGGTGGAACGCGAGCGAGTCTGTAGAAATAAATGCTGGCACGGGTCAGGCCTGGAGCAAGCGCCACTGAAACATCAGGTTTACAAAAGAGGAGGAAAGAGAGGGATCCTGGCCACCCTCCTCCCACCCCCAGGCCTCCTCTTACCCCCCAGACACGCCTGGCTTTAAAGGGGCGGCCCTAGCGATGTCAAAGAATGGGCATTGATTTTTACGCTTTTTTTTAAGGGCCTTTTTTTTTTGGAGGAAGATTAGCCCTGAGCTAACTGCCGCCAATCCTCCTCTTTTTGCTGAGGAAGCCTGGCCCTGAGCTAACATCCGTGCCCATCTTCCTCTATATGTGGGATGCCTACCACAGCATGGTTTGCCACGCGGTGCCATGTCCGCACCCGGGATCCGAACCGGCGAACCCCAGGCCACCAAAGTGGAATGTGCGCACTTAACCGCTGCACCACCGGGCCGGCCCCTTAAAGGCCTTCTATGAGGGGTCCTGCCTCAGCTGTGAAAGAAAGAATAAACTCTGTGCTCCATGATGTGGCAGACCAGGGAGACCCCTTCCATCCCTGAAGGAGGGACTGAGGGAGACAGAACAAGGAGCGAGGGGGTGAACGGGAAGACGGGGGTCTCCTGGGGCGGAGCCCTCTGTGGGGACGCGGCTGGGAGCTAGGTTCTGGGGCCTTGTCCTAGAAGAGCTGGGAGAGGCACATGCCCGGGGAGCTCCGGGGTCTGCCGCCCATCACAGCCCGAGGGGTCGTGACTATTTAATAAGGACGTGTGTCACTTTCAGAGCACGTCCCCGGGCCTGGCTTTATGCGCATGACATCTGTGTTCACAGGGGCGCTGTGAAGCAGGGCGGGGATACCCATTTTCCAGACGAGGAAACTGAGGCCGAGAGAGGTTAAGTCACTCGTCCTGGGTTTGAACCCAGGCGGTCGGGCCCTGGAGCCGGGGCTGTGTAACCACTGTGCCACCTGCCACTTGTCACGTTGGTGAGCAGCAGCCAGCGGCCATGACGCCCCGCCCAGCCGCCAGGTCCCTGTGACGGGCTTTCCATGCCCGGCCTGGCTGTAAGTGGCTCTCAATGTCCCCATCTGTAGGCGGGGAAACTGAGACTCACAAAGGGGTTTGTCCAAGGTCACTGAGCTAGGTAATGACAGTGCCAGGAGCTGTCCCCAGCTGTGTCTCTCCCTCGCTCAGCAAGCGCTGGGGTGCCTGGTGGGGGAACCAGGACAGCAGGAGGTGACACCGGCCTGGCCCTTTGAAAAGCCCCCATGGCTTCGTGCTGGGCGGTCTGACAGATTATTCTGTGACAGTGCGCACTCTGCACGCCCGGCCCCAGCGAGGCCTCGAATACCGCTGCGAGGCTGGTACCTTACGCTCCTCACCGAACAGAGCGGGAGACTGAGGCTCAAAGGGGTGGATGCTCGGCCGAGGCCACTGTCAAGAGGGGAATCCCTCCTCGCCATCGCTCGGGTCTCTGCACAGATGGTCTGTCCTCAGCAAGGACTTCCCTGACCTCCTGGGGGCTCCTCACAGGCCACGTGGAGCAGGACCGGGCACTCCCGCTGCAAGGTCGCGCCCGGAGCGCACCAAAAGTCCCGACCACAAGGAACCACGGAGCACCCCTCGCTGAGGGAGACAACTGGCCGACCTCGCCAACAACGCCACGTCCCAAGTGCCCAAGGAAGGCAGAGGGACTGTCCCAGATGACAGGATGACTGAGCCGCAACACAGGGGCCCGAGTGGATGCCGGAGCCGGAGGAAAAACAGCTACCACGGAGATTCTTGGGCCAACGGACGACATCCGAGTATGGACCGGGGGTTGGAGGCCAGGACGGTGTCCACGGCAGAGCTCCTGAGCGCCACCGTGGACGGGAAAACGCCCCCGCCTCGG